AAAGTTCCACCCCCAGATGGAACCGTCTCATTGCAAAGAAACAAGCTCATGGTTCTCATTGATTTAACGTTATTGTAAGTTAAAATGTTAAATCACTTTATATTTATTTTTTGGTGTAACTGTATTTTATTTCGAAGCCATGTTTAAATGCAATTAAATTGAAATTAATAAATCAAAATAATCTAAAATATGAACAATCAACGTCCCCCCCCCTGCCGCTGTAAAATTATCAAACGTTGGCGGGTTCACGATGATAAAATGGTTGCGGAACACTGGATTAATGGACAGGATCAAATGAAAGTTTAATGTCCCAAACTTACTTGTTATTGGGAAGAAAGGGAAACAAAATAACGTATATTACTTTGCCAGTTATGTTTTCAAATATACTTTAAATTCAATAAATGTATTGTAACCCGGGACTTATAATTGTTTCCCACTTTTTTTTCCGAAGCAGATGCGTAAATTAACCCTTTTGTTCCCCAAAATAAATATTATTTAATGAGAAAAAGATTTTTGCTGGATAAATTATTCTTTTCGAAGCATGCTAGTACCATTATTCAGCCAATATCGGCCCTAAATAAAATTGTTATTCCCCAATATTAAAAGCCATTCTAGGGTCAAAATTAAAAAATCTAGATATCCCAATATTGGTCCATCGGTGCATGTTCTTGAAGGATCTATATTTAGCCAATTTTGAGCCGAACTGGAGTCAAGGTAAAATTGTTTCTAGGTTATTTATAGCATTAAATTAATACAATGGCATTTCTACACCGAGAAATATACAATAGCTTAAAATAAAAGGACATAAGTAATATAGAATTTAGTTATATTTGTAACTTTTAGTATAGAGTTGATCAGATTTAAGAACAAAATAGCAAATAAAATTTTTATCATGATTGTAATAAAATTTCGATCGCAAATTCCATTCGCAAATGAAATTTTGATCATCTCTGCACTGCTAAATCCATCAAGAAACCATCTTTTACTGTTGAGATATTCAATCTCCCTGGGATTTTTATTTAACCTAGCTGTAGCTTATAACCTATTGTACGACCTTATTATGTTCGACAGACGAAGTCCTAGGTGAAAAAAGGTGTAATTGGATGTTGAAATTATCGGAAATAAAATTTCAAGCAATTACAGGGTAAAATCTGTGGTTTAATAAGTTTAACTTTTCAAATTTCTTAAAACATATTGGTTTACACTATCTTGCATGAAAAGCATAATTAAATCATATAACTTCAGGGAAGGCAATAACTTCTCTTTTGCTTCAAATGATTTTATGAAATAATAGAGGAATAAACACTAATTTTTTTTCCGAATTTCAGTTAATTATAAAAATACTTTAAATGATTCAAAATGAGATAACTTTAATAAAGTGGCATTTTATGCATGTGTTTGAACTGTTGATATGGCGTGGGTCATGGTGGATAGAGCTACATTTATTCAAATTTATTAAGCTAAGAAATAAATATTGAAGAATAAATTTGGCGAACACTAGAAATAATTTCTTCATTAATCGGAGCAAGTTGGCTTTTCTGTAACTTGATTAGGTTTAACTTAATATTTAAGATAATTTAATTTTTAAAATATAATAAATTTATGTATTTAAATTAATTTGGAACACATTATTTACTAAGAATCTGATGACCCATTAGTTGAGACCATTATGCATTGGAAAATTAAAGAAAAGGGGGAATTGGAAAATGAATACTCACTTAAAGTAAAACAGTAAAATTATTACAATTCACAAAATTGATTGTGTCCACTTAGGTAGGAGATTAATGTACTTAAAATATGATCTTTGATTATTTAAGTAATTTTTTTAATGTATTTTTCTACAATTCATCTCCATCTTATTTTAATCAGTCAGTAATGATTGCACCAACACATTTTTAAAGTTCGTATAAAAGTTGTATCTTAAGTTGAAATTCAGAAAATCATACTTGTTAACCAGTCTTGTTTACGCACTTGTTCTCTATAATTACTTGATAAAGTTGCAAAATAAATAATACATAAGTAACTGTAATACCAATCACGGATGGGATTAAATTTCTGGATATGGTGAAGTATTTCCAAGCTGTAAGTTGAATACCGTAGCAATAAACAGCAAACAGAGTCGTTTCGCTTTGAATGTGAGTTCTCATGCCTTCTTTGCCAAAAAGTTTTCGCGTTCTGGCTATAATAGGAGCTAGTTCACTGGCTTCTTCAGCAACCTGTGACGCCACCATAGTTACAGATCCAAATGCTAAGAAGTCCAAAGTGATTTTACCAGCTATGACTAAACAAGCATGCGTAGTAACTTCTAAATTATAGTCAGAACTGATATAAATTAAAATATAGCAGCAAGTACGAATTAAAGTGAAAGTTAATAAAAATAAAACTTGTAGGGAAAATATATCGTCCGTCTCTTTCACCAAGTTTGCAGCTTTTAGAAACCTTTTATTTATATCTCGAATACAACCGGCAATATTATGATCTAATGTCAAAAGAATTCCCTTTTGAGATTCTTCTTCGTCGGTTTGATAAGCGGCATCGATTTTTGCATTATTAATGGATATTATACTGATTGCGGGAATTGCTAGACTATATTGATCAACATTAGACTCTGCATAAATTTGTATGTCAGTTATATTTTCGGACTGATTAGAACTTGAAGCTTCGATTTCAACCTGCTTGTTGAAGTTTTCTGAAACCAAACTGCTGTAAAGTAAATCGCGCTTTTCATCCTTATATAATTCAACCAGTTCTACGTCAGTGCTTTCCAGCACCCGACATTTCTTTCGCTTACACAGATGAATTCTATCTCTATCTTTTTCAACATTCTGAACCAATTTCACGGCCTCTTTATTAATTGATTGAAACATGGATTTTAAATGTACACAGAACGAGCAGTAAAACAAAGCACAACTGGCAACCGTCATCCAGTTAGTAATAGACATGAATACAATGTAAGTAAAGTTCAGCTCCCACGAAGAAAAAATGTAATTCTCAAGGCCTACATCGTAGGTTAAAAATGTACCCACAAGAAAAAACATACATATGAATATATTCAAGAAAAACAAAAATCCCATGATGCGTATCCAGCGCTTATCACTTGGTTTAATTTTAAAAACTCCAATTCCTAAATCTTCCTTAATTGTTTTCTGCAAATTTAGAAGTCTATCGTGTTTACCAGTCAGGGAGTTCATCACTAGTGCTCCGACTGCAACGTCTAACAAACCAAACAAATCATTAATGTCTTTGGCTATTACTGTCATATAATATACTTGATATATCAACTCAACATTATACTTTAATATTAAAATAATTCTCCAATAATACCAAGAATAAAGTATGTACTTGTTTTGTTCCTTGTCATGAACAGGTAAACCAGTGAAGAAATGGAAGTAGGCTAGAAACCACGGAAACATAGGAAAAAACTTCATGATAATTTTTTTTCTCCCTTTGCTTCGTCTGGGAAAAAACAAACCCACAATCCTTACATTTTCAGCTACCTTAACTCTCTGCTTTCCTGCAATTATCTTTTTATTCGATTTCTCTGTCACATCATATTATGCGCATGCGTGAAGTCAGACATTTTCTACTACTTTTAATTTAAGGTTACTATGCAGAAAAAGCAATTTAATATTTTAATTAACTAAATTGTTTACACTTGTCTTAACAAAAAGAGTTAATCATAAAGGACAGATAATTTCCTAAGCTAATATTTGAGATACGATAATTGGGTAAAAATATATATCCTCCATGCATTTGATGAAAAATATTAATATATATTCTTTACAGAAATTAGTTTAAGATATCTGCATGTGGTATTTATGCATCTTTTTAGCACTTAACAAAAATTATATCAACTTGTTATTTTAAACAATGATTATAATTATTAAAAAATCAGAGACTAAATAAGAATGGAATGAACTAATAAACAAGATATATTTGTGAAATGAATTCACCTTAATAGGAATGAAATAACTTAATTCCCCCTTAATTAGTAAACGAAGTAATTTTCACGTAAATGAAATTTTTTCATTATTGCCAAGAATATCTTTACGCTTCAGTTCCTCGTAATTATTCAATTCATAAGTAATAACGTTATTAATAAAATATTTTATTTTAAAAAAAAAAACTACGCCAATAAAAAAAGCTTATTTTAATAAAAATTTATTGAATATACAAATGTCGTAAAAAAAGTTAGCCTGTAAATGTAATTTTACATCTTAATTTAAATGAAAATAACTTCGGTAATATAAGTTAAAATGTGGCTTATCATTATATTGCTTTGTGACCTTTTCTCAATGACAAGTTTGCCTAACTCATTGAATAAAACGATGAAACATAATAATTTTTGTAATGTACATTTCAACGAAGTTACTCTTGAGTAAATTGTAAAACTATAATTGTTTTTCTTTTCAGTTAGATCAAACAGTATGAACTTATCGAACTGGATGATTAAATGGGAAATAATTCTTTTATTTGCTCTTGGATTCCTCTGCATCGAAAGTCATCACGGCCACGATATGTGGCACTTTTACAAAATGAAAAAATTTATGACTATGGTGGCATTTGCAAGAGCTTTGGGAAAAAGACCAACCATATTGCCAGTGCCAATTCCCATACCTATCCCCATAGCTCAAAACGAGATAATCAAATTACCGTAAGTGAATTTATATTAAGTTCATTAACGTTTCAAAAAATTTATATACAATTTTGAATAGTATTATAAACCTCTAGTACTGTACTATTCCAAAGATAGTTGTAAAATTTCAGGCCACTATGTTCCTTGGTTTCAATTTTTTATTTCCATCATAATTTTACCCTAATTATCTACACAATTACTTTATTTAACTATTTTTCATTGCCTTATTATTGTTTACATACTGCTCTAAATTAACTTTTATTTAGATTAGATTTTTTTTAACAATTTTTATTTTCCATTATAGTTTTACTCTTATCTACGCAATTACTTTAATTATTTTTTATTGTTTTATTATTAATGTTTACATTCTGTTCTAAATTAACTTTAAGTCTATAGTATCTTTGTTTTTTTTTCCGATTCTTGTGAATATTTAATGATTCTTATAGACACTGGGCAGACAATCTTGAGATATAACATTGTATGATTTCACTATTGTGAGTAAGCAATATTGTTTAAAACATTGTAAAACGGCTAACAAGTGTAGAATTTTAAGAATTTACATCAATATTAATTTATTTTTCAACACAATAGTATGATTATGAATTATAAATAAATTGTATGAATGATTCATTAGAATTAGTTGACAGTGATGTCTTATTGCAACAAATAGATTCATATTTCATTTTGCTTTCTCCAAAAGAAAGGCATAAATTTTTTGTAATCCTGAATCACCCGAAAAATAACTGTATGAATCGGAATAATAACCTACCAGAGATAAGCGGGATTGTACTCGTTATTTTCTGCACAAATGCTTTTTGTAAGGCAAAGGGCCATAGCTCGGTATTTCATACACCATTGTTTTTGTTAAGGAAAAAAGCCATAATCTAGAATTCCCTAAAATGTTTAAGCCTTAAATTTTTAATGTTAAGCCCCTAAATGTTTATTCCCTAAAATTAAGAGGCATTGCTCGGTACTTACTTTTTCTTAATTGTTATATGGTGAGATTTACTTTGATGGTGACATTTCAAATATTTTGTAGAAGAAAAAGAAAATTAGGAAAATCTTACATACAAAAAAAAAAGAAAAAGCTACTAAAACCTTAACGGTAAAGCTAAAATAAATTCCGGCTTTTATGTCTAAGAGACAAATAATAAATAAAACAAAATCCCCAATTCAGTACCTCCAGAGGTACAGTTTGTTATGGGGACATGAAGGACTTTGTGACCCGACACATTTAACGAGCACCAGTCACCATTTACTGCAAGGGGAGTCGTTTTCGGCAGGCTGGATTCTAACTCCCATTCTCATGAACGTGAATCCAGCGCCCCTATTGCATTTTTGATTGGATACAACTTATCTATTTCCTATAGTACAAGAACTGGGCACCAATGTAAAACCATCTATATACGTAACAGTGAGCTACCTATTAACTTTTTAAATTACATTTGGCTCTTACCAACAATAAGTATATTCGACTTACCTTAGGTGTGGTTACCTTAGGTAGGACAGCAATAAGCCCTTCAATATAATTTCAAATTGTTTCAAACATGTATCCAAAATTAGCAAACTTAATACTGCCCTTACTATATGTCCTCCTTAATGACAGTAAATAATATTTTCTGTTTTGTCAAAACGAGCCTACTGCAATTGTGGCAGAAATGAAATACGCATTTACCGTAATTAAAATCATCGCACTGTGTTATTTTTTTCCTTATTGTAAAGACCATATTGTAATTAAAAATTTATTTTTTAGGATTTCTAGCGGCGGCAAAACAATGGTCATAGGAGGCGGAGGCAATGGAGCAAACCATGCACCAGGAATAGGTCAAATTTTAGGAGGCATTTCTAGTCAAGGAACAGGATCTACAACCTACGGCTATGCACAACCTTCAGTCAGCTCAGGAAATATTAATTTGCAATCATTAACGGGATCTGACAGCAACGTTGTCAGCTTGTCATCACTTCTTGGAAATAATGCCAATAGCAATAATGCTCCCAAAATAATAATAATTGGGGGCGGCCATAACATGGGTAATGCACCAAGTGGACCCCTGAATCAGCCTTCTGTGATACATATAAATGGACAAGATCTACAAAACAGCAATTTAGGACTGAATGGGATGCAAGGAAACAATTTAGGGAATAGACTTAACGATCTGGACAGTGCATATAGTAATAATTTCCCTGGATTGTATAAGTTTCCACCCAATTTTTATTCTGATTTCCCTCGAAAACGATTGCCCATCACGTTTGGGGGTCGAAGAGGGAATCCGCCAGATGTGAATTACTTAAGAGGATCTGGATTAAATCACTACCCCCCAAGAAAAGAAAACTTGAACCAAATGTACGATTCGAATATTCCAAATAACGGACGAGACTTACCTCAAAACTCAGTAAAGCAGAGGCGTCCAATACCAGTTGGAGAAAAGTTTGACCCACTTCCTTAAAAGAGAATATCTGATAATGGACAAAATCTTGAACTTCTAAACTGCTTATGTGCACAAATATTTTTCCGATATAATATATAAATTTCCTACCTTTTTTCACACCAATTTTTCTTGAAAATATTGTCCCCCAGGTTTGGAGGTTAAAGAGAAAATTTGAATTTAAAGATGGGCCTGTATTATTTCATTTGATATTTTGTAATAAGTACTTAATACTTAGAACATTGAAAAAAATACAGCATGAATATAGCAAGAGCATTTTGTATCAATTCATTTTTAAAGAATAAAGTTAACTAAATCTCTTAAAAAAGCGAAAAATAACTTTTAAATCTTATTTAAACTTCTAGGTTTCTACACAATTTTAAAAAAAATCTTGTATTCCTTCAGAATTGCATTCATTTTGGATTTTCTCCATATCAATACCACTAAGGAGCAAGTATATTATCAATGTATAAATTTGTATCAATTTGAAAGTACCAACTTAGGTGAAATGATTACTCTGAATCTGGCAGGACTCTGCAACTGCTGATTATTTAATCTGAAACAGTGCCTTTTTCAAAATGTAACAAGTTGATATTTTCAAATCGATACAGATATTTTGTCACAGTTTTGTAAAATAATTTCATTTCTATATGATTACATTTTAATGTTATATTTATTAAATTACTTTCACAATTTTTTAATTTTATTTTCAACTTGGAAAATAATAAATAAATTTACATAAATATTTATTGTGGTACTATTAATTACTATTTATTTAGAGTGATTTCCCCATAAGCTTTTTCCTGATTATTTTCACAAAAATTTAGAACCAATTACTTTGGTTAATGTGTTTAAAATTCTTCAATGACCTCAAAAAACTCCTAATGAGTCCCTATAGTTTAATTAAAAGGAAATAAACTTAAAATGCCTTGTTTAGGGTAACATTTAGTTCATTTTTCAGTTATTATTAACAGATGAACTTGTCTTAATTATACCATATATGAATCCTTTGGTTTATTATATTTTAATTACTTCATAGTAAGCAACAATAATGAACACATGTAAAAAATGTTAGTATTTTTAACATGTCTTCACATTCGTTGTTCATGTAACAAAATATTTGTAATTTCATAATCGATTGAAATCAACCTTTGTTTAATTTCATAACCAAAACTACTTTTAAACCTGCAATTTAAGCAAATTAAAATTCTAGGTAAGTTTATAAATTCAATATAAACTTTTTGCACCAACAAAAGCAACAGAAATTTTACTTAAAAATTTTTCTCCTCCACTTTCATTTAAGATCTAAATTAAGAATATGTGATATGTACCAGATACTTATAAAGTATTAGTTTTTTGTAACTGATACTTAGTGGTATCAGTTAATAACCGATATGAAAAAATAGGTACTTACTATTCTCTAGCTTTTGTGTTAGGCAAAATTAAAGTACTTTGCAATAGGAGTCTCAAATTTTAAGCAAAATTATGATACATAGGTTCAGTTTAGAATAATATACTTCTAAAAGACTCAAACAAATGAGGACAGGAGCTCTAGAAAATTTATTAAATCGAAAGCAGCCCAATATACGATGGAGATAAGTTGCGATCAAAATCACTCGAGAAAATAATCAGATTATTAAAGGAAGGGGGGATCTAATAACTGAAATGCTTATGATTATCTGTTTGAAAATACTCATTTTTTTATGTTATTATGTTTCCTCTCCCAATTAAACTCTTTTTGACCATTTAGAAGTCACAAATCTGGACTTAAATCTTTCTTAAAAGTTACATAAACAAGATTGCAAAAAATTTTTCAATTTAAGTTTAAGAAAAGAAGAAAAAAACACTGCCAACACAGAACAACGCTTTATCGTATGATAAACAAGATTTTGGACACAATAGATCTGTCCTGTAGATAGATAGATCTTCAAAATTTAAGTTATATTTCTTAGAAATTTTGTTTAAGCACGACTAATAGATTGAGTTATTAGCAGTAATCTATATTACAAAAATTTTAACTATGAATAAACATGAAACCACACCTTTCTCAAACTGTTTAAAACTTAAATTCATGAATATTATACACTTACAAAATTGAGGAAAAAGTTGCAATTATAATACAGGGTTGCCACAGTAAAAAATGAACAAAAATAGTTGATTTTAGTATCCTCAAGCATGAATATAGTTGCCTAAAACTATAAAAATAGTTGCCTGAACAGGAGCAAAAATTTATCAAAAATAGTAGCTTAATTGTCAAATACTATAATAAGAACTGGTTGATGTCAGAAATTTTAAATCGTGATACATCGTTCGTTAGAGATCACCATTTAGCATATGTTCAGAAATTGCCTATGGGAAATCAATTAAAAATAAATAAATCTATTACAAAAGAAAATATTAATTCTAAACATATTCTACTATGACATCAATATCATTGCTTAATTTTTTCAATTAAAATAATAAAGAAGTCAAAGTAAAAGCAAACCAAAGAATTATTTCATTTTTCTTAAATTACAAATGATTTAAGATTTATTGGTTTAAAAATAATAATACTGTAACAAAATATTTTACATACGTGCATTAAAATTAAAAGAAAAAAGCGAAAGTAGAAAACAAACCAAAGAAATGTTCACTTCAGAAAAAAAATTATTTTTTTAAAATTATTTGTTAGAAAAAAAAAACATGCTTTTGAAACATCATTAGACCCTCTTTTATTCAATTATTTAAAATAATATAAAGTAGTATTAACTAATGGTCAAATTCTGTACTGAATAAATGTCAAAATATTTTTACTTATTTATTATTATTTTCGTTTTTGAAAATAAAATTGACTAAAGATTTATTTCTTTAAAAATGACACTGACTATCTAACAAATTATAAAACAAACAAGTATTGAAAGAATTTTAATAAAATTTAAAAAAAAAATACTTAAAGTACTAATGTTAAATTATTAAAAAGCGTCCAAACATTACTAAACTCTTTTATTTAATTTTTTTTAAAAATTTTGCTTTTTAACTAATAGCCAAATTTTTTTAAAACTTTGCTTTCAGTTTCTCAAAAATAAAAGCAAATTAAATAAAGGTAAACTTTATTTTAATTTTTTTATAAATAAAAACTGAACATTTATTGGTTTAAAAAAATCAAATTATTATACTCACCTACATTGAATAAATTTGAAAAAAAAAAAAAAAACTTTTTATAACAAAATTAAATACAAAATACCCCCATTAAATTGTATTGCTTAAAATGAAAAATAATAATTGAAAAAAAAAACCAATGAAGAAACTTTTTTAATTTATATTTTCTTTTCATTGATCTTTTAAGTTCAGAACGAAAGTTTAAGATAACAGCGATTATGCAGTAATCAATCGCAAAGTAACAGTAGGTCTGCGAAAAATAAGAATAAGTATAAAAAGAACTTCGCTAAGAGTAAAAAAGTCTCCCAATAGTCGCCTAAGGTCGAAAATAGTAGCAAATAGTCGCATTTAAGTAGCCTGCAGCAACCCTGTAATAGATTTAAAATCAAGCAATGAAAATAAATTTATTAATTGGGTGTCTTATCTTTGAAATATAATAAAAAAGGAAATTGCTGCTTTGTTTTGATGATTCAAATCTATTATGGGCCTTTAATACAAAATATTAAAATTATTATGTTAACTTTTGGAAGAAATATATAATGAAATTATTGTACACAGAGGAAAATCCTGTGTACGGAATCATCAATACTTTGGCATGTCAAGATTATAGGTTTTTAAGGTAAACAAAGATAAAAGCACACGGTATTCAACGAAAAATAATTTTAAAAAACAATAATTGATTTCAATTTTCATACAATAAAATTTTGTTATTAGTGATATGACATTTAATTAATTGAAGAATATTTAGTAAAATATAATAAAGGATTTTAATAATATATATAAAAAATTAAAGTCTAACAGCTTTCTCTTTAATTTTAAAGACACTTTTTCTGATTTGAAGATATTTTGTAGAATTTTAGAGTGTAGAATTTTAGAGAGTAGATATTTTGATAAAAATAATGAAGGTCTACAACACCATGGTGTAGCAGAGTTAATAAAAAATAAAGGGGTCTGCAAGACCATGGTGTAGTAAACCTATAAAAAGATTTCTACAGATACATGGACTACTGAATAATGGCTCAATCAGAAATAATATGTCCCTTCATGAGTTAAAATGTTAAAATCAATTCATTTTGATATTCAAAAATATATATATAAATAAATAACACAATATTCATCCAGTGGACTCATTACAAATAAAGATTTTTATTACGAATTTCCAAACACGAAGCCTTAATTTCAATTTGAAACATACTATGTACTATTAATGTTTTGTTTTTGACTCTAATAATTAATGGTCAAACTAAACAACTTCTCTTAGCACAGCATCATAAGCTTTGATTTTTGATGATATTGACATGTCTACATATTTGTCTCCAATTGTCACAATAACTCCACCAATAAGTGAAGGATCAACCTGCATAAAGAATAAAGTATTTTTAAAAAAAATTTCTGCAGTGTCTATGTCTAGTAAACAAAAGCTATATCAAGAAAATAATAATATCATAAATAAAATATATATCACCTTTCGGAACAATCATATTAATTTTAGATCAGATCAAAGTTGCGTTTTGAATATTTTGTCTTAAAATTTGCTTAAAATATTTATTAAAAACATGCTCTAAACAAATTATTTAGGATATATATATATAGGTAGTGTACACTTTTGCCCTTAGTATACTTCTATCACAATATTTTGACCTTATTATATGTAGTTAAACAAGGCGAAAATATCATCCAAAAAGTCCATTATAACAATAATAATTACAATATCTAACAATTACAATATCTAAAAGGAAGAGAAAAAAAATGAAATTCTTATACAGCATAATTTAATTCTATACAGTATAATTTAATACCAACAGAAAGAATATAACAAATAAAATATGTTTAATGATGGTTGAAATTTTTTCCCTTTTTTAAAAATATAATTACAAAAAAAAAATCTAGTTTTTAAAAACTTTTGAATGAAATAAACATAATAAAAATACTCGTGAAATGCAGTTTGCATTATTTCAACATCAACATAATGCTGCCTTGAATTAATAACACACATTTTATATTCATACACTGTACCTTTTTGTAAATATGGTATTAAAAAGATGTCGCTCATCAAATCATAAATCAAAACACTAAAAAATAGTTTCAAATAAATGTGTCAATCCTTTGAATTTATGTGACAGAAAAAGTCAAAATCAAGTAACAGCAAGGTGACCAAATTACTAAACTTTAAATAAATCAACTAAATTTTTGGTCTAAATATTTCTACATCTCGTGCAGAAAATATTTGAAATTTAAAACAATTTGATTTAAAAATAATTTCAAAATTTAGTAACAATAAATAAATGAAATCAACACTAAAACTTACGTGTATCTTCTAAATGTGAAATAAGGAGAAATTACAACAATAGAAGTTAAAGATTATAAATAAAATTAAAATAATTAGACTTTACCCTTGTGTTCAACAGAACTTTCTCATTCTTCTTAACAAAAGCTTTCAGAGCTTTCTCAAACTCACTCAATGTTGGAGCATCAAGAGGCTATGAATATAAAATATACAACTTTATAGAATAAATAATTCAACATTAAAATTAATGCCAAAATTAATGAAACAAGATGCTTACTAGATTATTAAGAATAGTTAAGTTAAGAATAAAAAGATATGAAAATAAAATACATTATTTATCTTGATACATTCCTTTGAACTGATGTTCTCTTTTTTTAATCAGTAGAAATAAAAAGTTTAAAATTTTTTTTTTTTTTAAATCTTTGACGCAAAGGTTCACTGAAAATACTCATGTTATAGTTAATGTGAAAGTAGTAGAACACAAAATAATGGTCAGTGCCATGGTTCACTTAAGTAGTACTGGATTTAAATAGATGCATTTTTCAAAAAATTCAAGAGGATCATCAATTTTAAGCGAAATTTATAGTGAACAAAGGAAAAGGGGGAAAAAAAATGTAGTGGAATCAGAATTGTAATGCTTCATAAAATAATCGTCTGTTATCAGTAATAAATAATTGTATGCTTAGATTAATAAATAATATTCTCCTTAATCTTTTTTTATAAGAGCAGGCAATTTTTAACGAAAGCAGATGAAATTCCACATCAAGAAAAACTACTTTTAAAGAATCAGAATTTATCCAGTTAAAAAATATTGCTTCATTAATTGATGGATAAATATAACAGACAATAAAAAAACGCTTTGTTTGTAATAATTAATCATAATAGTAATGTATTATCCGAAATTATAAAATAATTTGTCATAATAAATTAAGGATAACAAAACTGAGTAACTAAAGTGGACTAAAAAAAATTTCTAACATGCCAATACTCTTTGAGGGATAAGTTTCAAGTTCCTTAACTCAGACATTCAATTGACAACACTTAGAAACGATCAAGAATAATAGAAGAATCTTGAAGATGTACCTAATAATGGCAGATTTAGAAAAAAAATTGGATTTTTTTAAAATCTTCTATTGCTTAAATTACGAAAAATGGAAGAGCGAAATCCAAATTCTCTGACAATAATAATATCCGATTTTGGCGTAAAATAGCGTTTTTCCCTGACAATCGGGACTTACGAAATTAATAACTTTACTTTTAGACAATATCGTTGTTCAATTTCTAAATTTTCACTCCAGATTCTAAATTTACAGAATCCGAATTTAGAAAAAGAATCACACTTAATTATTATTTTATTTAATTTTTATTTTTAAAACATTATGTTCTTATGAGGAGTGACAAAACGTAGTCACGTTTTTAATTAAATGTTACCAATTTTTTTATTAATCCTGCTTATTAAATAGCGCATTAAAAAAAAATAACTACTCAAATTTGGATTCTAACAAATGTTTTATAAGTCTCTTTGTGATCATTTCATTGCACCAATAATAAAAATTCATTCATATTTATTTAGATGAATTATGGGTTTTAGTAGTAGTAGTTCAGACAAAGCTTGATGGTTTTTGTATTCCCTCCCCACTAGCACAGTCAATTATGTTTATAATTTACTAAATTACAATTTACAAAATTCTTCTGATTATTTTTTAAATGATTAAATTCAGCTTAACTATATTTCTACTTTATAATTGAATAAAAAATAGCCGTATTTTAATGGTTTACGTATTTAAATTTTTTTAAACTTTTTCTTAGTAAAGTAAAGGGATATATTTTTATTTCTCTTTCTTCTGTTTGCTGAGACACACATGCAATGCCTCGTCCTCGTAAATCAAAGAGAAAACAAAATCAGCACACCACTCCTTTATGTTCGATTGACAGCAGCTTATCAGAAAAACAAAGATTCCTTCTGACACACAGGAGAAAATAAAAGATTCGTCCCTTTCCTGCCCTTCTCGATCTAAAGATCTTCAAGGTCATGGAAGAAATATTGAAGTTTTCTCTTGAGAAACAGGGAGAAAAATACCCTCTCCCCAAATTCTTCCGAACTCAACTTCAAGGATGAGTCAAATGTTAGTTTTTTCCTCATCGTTCAAGTTCAAAATTGCAGGAAAACCAAGCAAAATTTCCCCCGGTTTGAGCAAATGGTTCAGTACAGTATTAGAATAATAATTATAGAAATAGAGAACTTTAATTAAAAAAAAAATTTTTTTACGGAAAAGGAGAGATTGCCAATATGTGTAGTGATTGTGAACATTAGTTACATGATGGAGAAAAAACTGCAATTATCAAACTGATCAATTTGAATTTTTAAAGCACATTATTAAGTAGTGAAATACAGTGGAACATTGGGACCCCCCAAAAAAATTATCTGCTTATAGAAAAAGTACACTAATAATGAAGTTTAATGTTAAAAATTGTTTTTACGATAATTCCGATGATATAGAGAGGTTTAAATAATCTAAAATGACTATTTACATTGATATTTATTTAGACTTTAAAAAATATTTATCTTTCACTACAAAAAGAGGATATGAAAAAATTCGATATATATATCTAATTTAAGATGTAGCTAAAAAGCAATGAATATGTTTATCCTATTTCCACAGCTTTTCAACTTAGTCATATGATGCCAAACAGACACTTTAAATGTTATGTAACTTAATCCGTTGCTTCCAATTATTAGGTTTACAACCGCTAACATCTCCCCATCACTTGATAGGAATCAAGGCAATACGCCCTTAAAAGTAAACGTTCCGCGATACACAGAAAAGAAGAAAGCAGCAATACATACTTATAAGACACAGGGCTCTATGAAGTTGTTATTTTCACAATAAATCACTTGTCAAGTGTCTGAATAAATGATTGATTTATATGAACACCTCAACAACCAAATTTCTGTTCAAGTTTTCTTTTTTAAATCCAGCTTTGTAAAATACAGGTGTCAAATAGATTAGATTAGAAGAACAAAGGTATTTCCGGTGGCGTAAAGGAATGGAGAGCATTTAAATGTGTCATTGCAGCTTGTGGGGGTCTCATAACCTGTGTTGTTCAGAAGAAAAGATCAAAAGATGCTGCTGGTTGAAATATTTTACATGAACAATAACTTTTTCTCTTTTTTTTTTCTTCCAAAGATGAACAATGAAATAGTTGACAATATTTTTCGTTCTGAACAAGGAAAAAATTTACATACATCAAAAAATGCAAAAAGCTGCAGATTTTTTATTCTCCGAATTTAAAGCACAAATGTTTTTTTTTTTCTTTTCAAATTTAGAAAAATTAGTGTCTAGTTACAAAAGACAGAAAACAATGTTTCAGGGCATAAATGACTGCCTGCATCTGATTACAAGAGTGCCCGCTTAATTGAGAAGGTACATAATAGTTTATTCATAGAAGATTCAAGGGGAATTAAAAATATGTCCATAATAAGAAGAGCATGTTTAGTAGAAATGTCCGTAAGGTGAGGTTTCACAATAAGATTCTCAAACTAACTTCATAAATTTTTACTGCAATTATAATCACAATAGAGCCCACCTCTATTTCAATTTTCTTATTTAAATTTATTAAAAATTTTCTACCTTTAGATCAAACTTTTAAAAGTTTCTAAAAAACAATGCTAATAACTAAATGGTTTTATCTGGTAATGGTGCTAACAAAAAAGTACAAATACATTTTTATAAAAATATTTTTAGGACTTTTTCTTTACAACTTACCTTAGCTGATACTATTTCACATGAAATTTCTCCTCGAATATTGCTCATGACTCCACTAAAACAGTCTAATACTGCCATCAAAGATTTAAGTCGTCCATTTTCTGACAACAAAGCTAAAAATAGTAAAAAGAAGGATCTTTAGGGATCATAACAGAATATCGACAAACACGTAGGTACCGAGTGATCTCAAAAGAGAGGAGCGGACCAACATATATGCACCCGCTCATTATTATAAGAATGATTCATTATTATAAGAAAAATTCATTATTATAAAAATTATCCAAAACGAATTTCTGAGGCTGCTAACCTTTTAGGTAACAGAATTAATACCAGTATTTGTTTAGTACCATAAGTGCATAAAAGATTTGATATTCATGCTATAAAATTAACCAATTTCAACAAATTAACTTGATAAATTCATTTTTCCATAAACTATAAGATATAAACCAATAGCAATAACGTTTGAAAATCTTTAATCACATTAAATAATCTATTTAAATTTTTTTTCCTCTTAAGAACTTAAATAAAACTTTTAAATTGCAGAACTTTTTCTTAAAATGTAAGAACGAAAAATTTACTTATAGAAAAAGTATAATCTTAGGCATGGCTTTGCCCCTTTATTTATGAAACACGAGGAGACATACTCGCAACATATACTTCTAAACAAAAATAGTGGGTACACATTCTATTAAAAAATTCACCTAAAATATAAAACAAAGACGCAAGAATTGAAAGCTTTGTCAATTGAAAATTAGTATTGAGGGATCGAAAAAGCTCCAAACAAAATTCTCAAGCTATATACAAAAATATGGTTTTTATACTTATTTTTAAAAAAATACTGTTTGAAATTTTAAAATTTAGTCAATCAGAGTAGAAATAATAACAACTTGCTTAACTAATAAATAATAACAATAAAATGAAATAATAACAACTTGCTAAGTTAATGCTAATATTAACCTAACTAGAAGTCAAATATATGTTCCTATTCAAATAATCAAGCTCTAATGACTTCTCTAGTCATATTCTAGTGTATAATGGTTCAACTTTATCTTTTTACATCGACGTTTTTTAAAAAANGAAATTTTAAAATTTAGTTAATCAGAGTAGAAATAATAACAACTTGTTTAACTACTAAGTTAATGCTAATATTAACCTAACTAGAAGTCAAATATATGTTCCTATTCAAATAATCAAGCTCTAATGACTTCTCTAGTCATATTCTAGTGTATAATGGTTCAACTTTATCTTTTTACATCGACGTTTTTTAAAAAAAAAATTTTTTTTAATGAGTATTGAACGCGAATGTAAAATTGGTTTGTTTTTATTCTCAAGACTGATCAGAATTATTGTTTTTTATACATGAAAAAAAGGGGAAAAGAACTAATAAGTAGAATATTAACAGTTGAAGAAAAATGAATTACTTAAGAATTGATCTAAGGCTTTTTATAAATCATGACTGTTATATATTTTACACTTTATTCTTAAAAACTAAAATTATCATGATTGCAAATGATATTCTTTTAATTAAAAGTGATTAATTAAGTGAAAATGAAATAACATAGAACAAGGGATGCCAATAAAAATTTAAATAAGATTAAAAAATAAAAAAGGTACAGTTTAGTAAGAATTGTACTAAAACATGAAATTGGAAGAAAGTATTATTAATACTTATAATAAATGAAAATATAAAAATAAATACTTTTTTTTAGCAGTAAACACATCTTACCCAATAAATTACCAGTAAGTGGTGAGTAATTTTTCTTAGTACAAACTTTCCTCAAAATATCTGAAAATATTTTAGAAATCTTTAACTCTTAATTTTCAGTAATACAAAATTATGCAAATCAAAAAATTTGCCGTTGGCAATAAGCAAAATACATTGTTGCTTATTACCAACAACAAAATTTAACAATAATATTTTCAAAAAAAAATTATAATTATAAGAAAAACACAAAGATGAAACATGTATGAACTACAAGTCATAATCCTAATAATGTTTATTAAACTATTAACAAGAGATACTGTGCGCCAGTAAGTATATTTTAAAAAAGTCCAAATATCTTGAAAAGTTGAAGTAAAATAAAAAGTTATAGTTGTAGTAACATACAAGTAATATTTTAAGTATGAAAGATTTTGGAATAGCAATTCTGAACAAAAGGACTTCAATTAAATTAGCAAAATTTTTAAAGTAACAGTAATAGATTCAGCAGTTAACCTACCTCTATTTTTAACAATTGATAAATAATTTGAATAGTTTTCACACACATTGATAGGTGTACAATAGAAAATTACGATAAAAGTGATATTTTTCTTTGCATCCGTAAATACACACAAGCTCCACAAAAGTAATAGAAAAGTGTCAAAGTAATAGAAAATAATCATTAAAAGAGGAAAATCAGAAAAGAATAGGAGGGCAAACAGAGTAACTGCTAGTAGAAAAAAGAGTTTTTAAAAATTAAAGACTTCCAATAACTAGTTTTAATTAAAAAAATAATAAATAAATAAATAAATGAAAACTATCATAACCAGAAAACGATAAAATTTGAGAAGTAACTATATGACTAACATACTGAACACAAATAAGTAGACAATCAAGAGGTTTTTTCTTGCACTTTATACTCGAATAGATCATGCCTAAATTACTTTAACATGCAAGAAGTTAATATGATATAAATAATTTTCTTGCACTTTATACTTGAACAGATCATGCCTAAATTACTTTAACATGCAAGAAGTTAATATGATATAAATTTTTCAATAGAAGCTTATAAAAAAATTAAAAAGAACATTCACCTGTTTTAATTTTTGGCTTCATTAAGGGATTGACAATGAATTCTGCGAACCTTTTGTCTTTTTGCACCAAATTCTATGAAAAAATAAAACATAAAAATATTAAAGTTATGAAAAGTTATGCAAGTTACTGATGTGAGACAGTGGGTTTCTGTCCATAAAAGAGTTTAAAATTAGTCTTATTTTTAAAGTTATGACAAATTCGATGATTTTAAAGTTATTCAAATGTCGATGAAACACATCAAGGCTTTTGCAATTACTACAGAGCACACAACAAGATTTTCCATACAAAATAATATGGCATGAGGCATGATGATTTGAACAATCAAGCAAGTTTGAAGTCAAACTTAAAAGACAAACAATGATATCAAAAGATCTCAGACTTTTATACTAAAATGTAGTTGTATTATAAACCAATTTACAATACACTGCCCCTTTTACATCTTATTAACTTAACAAAAAAATAACAAGTTTAGTTTTAGCATCCGTGCACATATTTAAAAGGTAATAAGTTATAGAAGAGGTATGCTACTCTTTCAGGAAAAAGGTCATAACCTTGAACTTTAAATTTTTCTACATCAAGATGAGTTGGAAAAAGCGTAATATGAGGGAAGATCCAACCGATTAGTCAAAATATTTCAACATGGTACAATCTAGCTTTAAGTAAGGATTTTTTTTCTTTATTTATTATGTCTTAATAAATTATTTTCAGGTACTTAATCACATAATTTACCTAAAATTGGAATTTTTTAACTAATATTTAATGCTTTAATGTGTTTGCAATTACTTTGCAATCATACACAATAGAATTTTGCACATTTTGAAGAAATCATTGAAATGCATAATTTTTAACTTAAAGTTAGATCAAATACATTCATTTATTGTATATTCAATAACTATTTTAATGATTTTTAAACATATATTTTTTACATAATTTGTTGTTCGCAATAGATGCTGTAATTTCACAATTTTCATGAAGCTAAGTTTTGTGGGTGTGGCGTATATCTGAGAGCAGCATTTCTCAGTGAAATTGCATAGTGATTTTTAGAGTCAACCATATAATGTAGAGGCACACAGCAGTCACTGACCTGTAGTATAAATAGAGTTCTTTAATGGTATATATTCAGTCTTGCCCTATTCAGTTTACACCGTAAAACCTCGGTTAAGGGAACATTCTTGGGACCGAACCGAAACAATTGTTCGTTTAAGGGAAGGATACCCTAATAACAAAGTTTAACACCGTAAATTGTTTTTAGAACATTTCAAAAGATATAGAAATAATCTACTATAACTATCTACAAGGATATTTATTTAAACTTTAAAAAATTATTTCTTCAATAAAAAAGAAAATATAAAAAAATTATGCGTGGAGTCTCTCCACGCGGAAGAAGTTAAATTTCGTAACCTGCAATGTTAATTGTAGAAGAATCAGCAGTCGTAGAAGGATCACTAGTTCCATTCAACGACTCTTTTTCCTGATCCGCTCGCTTCCGTGCTCTGTAATAACGGAAATATTGTATATTTTCCCCTCGTGGACATCTTGAACCAGTGGAAGTGCTTGTGGTTGCCTTATCGTCTCGCCATGGAAAATGTATTTGTATTAATAATGTATGTGAATGCGTCATAATGTAATTTCAAAAGAGAAAACCTAACAATCAATTGATATTCACAAGAGACGTACCTTGACATAACCTTAAATCCGTCGCATTGTCCGTGGGATTGTTTTCACTCATTTTTTACAATTGTTATCCACTAAATTTGAAAATAAAAAATACTACCCTATTAAATTATATGTGTATCAAAACAAACTAAAAAAATATTTATAGAAAAACAATACTTTTATGACTTTTATTATTTTTATGCTAGTGAGAACCAAAACAATATGGAAATGAATGAGGGAAAACTGGATCCTACCACGTGATTTCCCGGCCAATAAAAATGTAGCGTTAAACGTTTAACGCAACCTTGTTGGAAGTCGCATAAGAAGTATAACTTCAAAAAAGTTTGATATAAATACATAATTCTAGAAATATCTACAGATAAATAAATATAATTTTCCTATTAGCTCAGACAATCAAGTTAGACATATGATAAAGAATAGGAGCTTTCAGTTCTCAGTCGGTTTCAATTATTAGGTTTACATCCCTTAACACCTACCTATCACTCGATAGGAAACAGGGTTAATACCTCCTTGAAAATATAACTCCCCCAATTGACAGAAAAAAAGTAATGCATACCTGTAAGTCATGAGGAGTCTGAATAAATGTTTCATTTATATGAACACCTCAAAGATTATAATTCTGTTCTCTTTTTCTTTTTTTTTACCCCACCTGTGTTAAATACAGTCTTCAAATTGATAATAAAATGAAATAAATTTTCAGTGGAGAAGAAGCATTGAGAGCATTTAAGACGTCATTTCAACTTGAGGGGTCTCATAACCGGCATGGTCCAGATGAAGAGATGCCGCTGTCCAAATTATTTCACAAGAGCAGTATCATTTTCTCTCCTTTCTTTACAAAGATAAGGCAAGGTGACAGGAGAAAGACTGATTCTTCAGTAGTGAAATAGCTTAACAAACTTTTTAGTTATGGATAAGGATAAAAATTTAATTGCTTTAAAAATGGTGAGAAGTTGCATTTTAATTCCTGCAATTTAAAGCAGAAATAGTTTTTTACAATTTCAGAAAAAGCGATGTCCAACTAGAGGAGATAACAAAAAAAACTTTTCAGAGCAAAAATCTCAAAATAAATGCAGTTCAAAGAATTATTTTTACCTTCAAGTCAATCAAATCTTTTTCTACTGCATCAATTTTCTTTTCTTTCATTGCAGCAGAATAAAAAGCTGTGACATAGCGACCTGCCACACCAAATACAGCAACGGGGGGCTAGCAATGAAAAGAAACATCACTTAAAATAGTAGAACTTTATGAATAGCTTATAGCATGTTATTTTTATTTAATAAAATAACATTACAGATACCTATAAAATTTTATACAATAAAGAGGAAAAGATTATTATTTAAAATGCGTTTCCAAGCACTTGAGTTTTAGTAAACCATGAATCTTTGAATATTGTTACGAATACATTAACCATGTTCTTTTGAATCAAGCAATCTATTTTTATAAAGCGTATTAATACTACTCTTTATTACGAAGATGGTTCAATTATAGCATTTAATAAATAGGGTTGGTTAGCCTACCCTCTCCAGTGCCAAGGAAGAAAAAAAATTCTGCCCAATATTAATACACACATGAAAATAACAATTGAATAAATTGTAAACATTTCATTAAGTTAGAAAATTTTTACATGCTTATTGTTATCTGAATGACTGGAGGAAACAGTTATTGTATTTTCCAATATAATGCAAATTTTTATTTATCATGAAACAGTACAAATTCAAAATAAAATGAATACTGAATATACAGGATTGCACAACCTATGGCCCAAGGGCCAAAATTGGCCACTGAAATTAATGACTTGACCCCAAAGTTAGTTTTGTCTTCTTCATTTTTTTTTTACTGGCTATTTTACTTTTTTTTATTTACATATTACTTTAGTGCATACCTGAACCATATTGTTTTTCAAGTTTTATTTATTCTCACGAGTTCAATGCTTGGAGGATAATGCAATTTCTTAAACATTTTACACATTATTTTGAGTATGATTTCGCGTGTTACTTTCAATTAAGATCTATGTAATCATAAAATTTTTATGATTACAGTTTTTCCTCACTTGTCGACCCCCAAACATGGCATTTTTTAGTTTCTGTGGCACCCCTTATCAAAAAAAGTTGTGCATCCCTGGTGAATACAATTCATCCTGATGAAATACACACGCCATAAGTTTTTATAAAAGAGTTATAAAGTAAATTGCTTTCCTTAGTGTACAGGAAGCCTTTCTTTCTCAGTTTTGGAGGTCAGTAAGTAAAGATGATGAATAGATAACCACTCGGTCCAGCCTTGTTGAGATATAAATTCAATTCCTTAGATCGAAAATGCCATGTTTTTTTTTTTTTTAACGCCTATAACAATGTGTGTATGAGGCTGATCTTTTTAATATAGAGCTCCAAATATAGTTTTATTTTTTTCATTCCTGAGAAATATAATTCATAATAAGTGTTAAGCATTTTTGCCCTTTCTATACAAAAATGATTTCATTGATAATTAGGGATTTCACAGGTTTCTAAGAGAGATATACACTAACTTTTTTGATTAAATTAGAATTTAGTGTGATAAAAATGTTATATGCCAAATCAATCTTAACCAATGGCATTTGTCTAAAAAGTCGGTGTTATTTTTGGATACACATGTTTTTTTTATTTTATTAAATAAACACATACTTATTTTTTACATCATAATGCAAATTTTAAATTAAATTTAAAAGGAACTTTTCGCCTTCACTGGTGAGTAAATTCAACCATTTTATTTTATTTATTTACTTTTTTAAACTGCCACCACCTAAAAAATACTTAACACATAACAGTAAAATTTATTTGAACCCAGTGACAGGAAGTTTAATACCGAGCGATGAAATGAATTTTTAGACTATTTAATAAGCTATATTAATCAAAATGCTTAGATGACCATTGAACTTCCTTTTAAGATTAGAGAAAGTATACACAACATTGATGTATAGACAAAACAATTTTTATTTATCCCAAAAGTATAACATCTTAAATAGAATTGATTTATTTTCTGTTGATAGTAAGATTTTGTTTAGTTATTGAATTCTGTAATATTTACTTCCATAAAATGGTATCTGAAAAAAGAAAGAAAAAAAAGCTCTAATACTCTTTAATTTTTAAATAAAGCTCCAAAGCTTTAATTTTTAATAAATACAGTTGTGTATATATATATGAATGCTGTAAAAGTTTCAAAAGAACAGAATAAAAATTGAAGAGGTTAATGTGCAAAAAACAAACAGTTTTGAGAAAACTTGTAGATGAATAAATTATGCATATAAACTCACCTTTATCATAGCAGCACATAATGATGGCGAGCTGCCAAACTTTCTAGTCTAAAGTAATTTTAAAAAAATTAATTTGATAAGAAAACTTATAACTAAAAAAATGTCTGAAAACTATCACACAAATTAAAATTTAAGAATACAATTGAAAAAAAATCCTATGTTTTATCATAAATCACTGCTTTTAGATGTGTATTAAAGGGGATATTTCCGTGTTATGATCTATTTCTCTAACTACAGCCGTTAAGTCACTTAATGGATTTTAAATTCTCATTTTTATTTTAAAAAACATGCAAAGGTTTGCACCGAGTTCATAAGAGTTAGTTCCCTTCACTTATAATTTTTTTTCCATTCCTCGTGAATAGCTGGTCAAAAGTTGCCAAGACACTCCAATGATTCTACCGCAGATCACGATACAGAAATCTTTCCATATTAAACTAAACCCATCGAAGACAAAAATGGAGTTTGTTGAATGGCGATGTTTGCGTATCGTAACTTGTCGGGCCAATTACAACCACTGAGGCGTCACATAGATCTTAAACCGGAAATTTGGTATAAAAAAAAAACGTGGAGAGATTTGCCCAGGGGAGGCTACAAGTTATAGGCTTTGAGTGATGTTTTTCTTAGTTTCCCCAGGAGCTGCTGCCCTGAAGTTGCGTAGATCAGGAAGCGAAAATCCTCCCTGTCGAACCTTGTACACCCAACAATATAATCAAAATAGTTTATTTTTATATTTGTTTGAATATTTCTTGAACGTGAAATTTCTGTTTTAAATTTATTCACTATAAAAATACCTTGCGATTATAATAATTAGAAAAATTTATAATTAGACGTATCACTCATTGAGAATATATACATCTTTTATGCTTATCTAACCATAAAATCAGAGATACTGAATTCAGATTTGCCCTCTTACATCTGCGGTAGCTTTTAAGTTACTATTTCAGAATTATATGTATATTAAAATTAAACAATCATAAGGAAGAAACTTATGAAAAGTCTTACGCAAGTCACCAAGTTCTTGCTGATTGACATATTAAGTATATAATATGAACTATACTAGAAAGGAATAATATAAAAATTTTATTTATTTTAAAAAGTTCTCAGAAGAAAATTTTTTGTGAGACTCAGATTTCGATGCAAACAGAAGGTCAACCAAATACGTGTTGCCATCTAAAAATTAATAGAAAAGAAATTCTCAAAACTTTTTAATTCTGTTGTTGTTAATGACGTCGCACTAAAGCTGCACAAGTCTGGGAAACATCCCGGAGGATGATCCGAAGACATGCCATCACAATTTTTGATCATCTGTGGAGGGGAAGGCAACCCCGCTTCGGTAGCCCGACGACCTGCACGTGAAGTCGAGCACTTTACGGTAGCACAGTTTAACGAGGACCAGTACCGCACACCCTCGATCCCTACGCAGACTGATCCAAGTGGTCACCCACCCGCACACTGACCGTAGCCAGTGATGCTTGACTTAGGTGATTTGCTGGGAACCGTGTCTTAACGATCAGTCCATTTTAATTCATTAAATTGCGGATGCAGCATGTAACTCATTAACGTGAGTGGCCCCTGAAAGTTTCGTTTGAAAATTCAATAAAGTATAAATCATTTGCGCAAATAAAAAAAAAAGTTTATCTTTCTGAAATATATTATTAATCTGTTACAAGCCCTCTAAATTGATTATTTTTTTGTAAATAATTAAAATAAATGATCTACTGATGATAAATGAGCTTGGGCCAATTTTTCATTGCGAATATAAATATTAAGAGACAGTACCAAAATTTAACTGACATTATATCGAATACATGATTTGATATTCTAAGCTAAAAATATCAATTTATTTAGATTGTTTATATGCAAAGAAGTACTCAGTATTACGTAATTCAATGATATTTTAAGTATTTTGCAGTACCGCCACCTCTCGTTTGGAGTTGTAAATTTACGTGGTAAACAACTTTTATTTGTTTGGAATGGATCCAGTATTGCAAATCAAGGAAAAGTTATTCTTTTTCGTATTTCAGAACTGAAATTCATTTGTCGTCTGATATCCTTCAGTAGTTTTTCATTTCGATCATATTATGGTTGTTGTTTAGATAATGTTGTATAATCGCCAACAAATATTTTAAGCCCCATCTAATTCGTCTTGTCGCAGTACGTAATATTTTTCGTCCCACCCCTCCAAGGATTACATGATTCAGTTAGTAGTTTCACATGTTTCGTTGTATAGTAATATTAAATTGTTTCAAAAATGTGATTTTTTTTATTTAACTTAGAGATTAAGTGTTAAAAAATCTACGAATAATTTGAAAAAAAATTTATTATTATGTTTTTATTCATGCTATCGGCGCATTGAACATTTCCTGGTAAACAAATTCCCATGACGAGGTCGTTTACGCACATGACGTGATTGTTATTTAGGAAATGTTCGGTTTTGTTTATCAATCTATTTCTTATAATTTGTCTCTTCTTTCATTTATTATTTATCTTAATTAAAATTTTCGAAAATACAATTTAAAAAATGTGTATAAAAGCTTGCTATTTATGAATTTCTAATTATATAACTATGTTTAAAAACACTCTTTTTACCAAGCAATAAGTTATTTATTTCACTTTTCTTATATTTTTTAAGTATGCTATATTTTCAAACAATTTTTTTATAATTACTCTTTAAATAAAATCATTTTATTTTTCTGTGTTCAGTAATTAGTATGCTCATCATCTAATCATATTTCAACATATTCATGTTAGTTTTTGTGTGTTTGTCATTAATGATAATATTTTTAACTATTTAAAATTTGTTTTATCAAGTAAAGTCAGGTTTAAGTTTGTTGATCTAGAATTAGCTTATATTGATATTTTTAGTTTTATCAGTCATTCTCATCATAAAAACAATATGCTCTGTAAATTAAACTGTACATGATAATCTTTTAGGATATTTCGTTTTCAAAATTATTAAAATATATTATTTCACTTCATATAAAATATATATATGATTTCATTTTGTATAAGAAACTCAAAACTTTCAAAGTAAAATTTTTTTCTAGAATTTCTTTCTCTCCTTAAATTTTATCTTAATGAATTTGTCTGAAGATTTCATTTGAATAATTAATCAGTGTTAGATTGAGGTTCTTATTAAAATATTAAGTTGCGACTGATTGGTATGTTAAAGTATTATCTCTCGTTGATAAATATTTCCACTAAATTACTTTCACTTTGAAGCATTATTATTTTATCTCATTTGAAAGTGCAATTGAAAATAAAAATCTTTTTTCTGTCTTTATAAACATCTCATCTTGATTGAAATATGAATTTCATGATAGATTTTTATTATCTTTCAACTTCGCTGTTTTTTCCTAAAGTACAATTTTTGCAATTTTTTTTTCCTATTTAGTTTTGTGGGAATCCAGGTTGGAAAAAATCTTTAGATAGGAGTGTTTTAATAAGATTAAAGTAAAATTTTATTTAAAAATTTTATGTTTGTGATTGTGAAAAACTGTAACTAGAAAAAAATCATGTATAATTTTTTTAAAATATAGTTACTATTCCTCAACTACCGTTTTAAATATCAAATTAGAAAAATTTTAATATTTATATTGCAAAAATTAGTAATTTTTTTAAATCAATTTTCTTAGGACATAAAAAATTTTTTTACATATTTTTTTGAAAAGTTTAAAAGAAAATTTTTGCCATGCAAATATATGAAATATGCAAGTGTACACATGACCCTTCTTTGGGCAACCTGCTGTGTAAGTGACTCTTCACTCCAAGAGGTTATCCACACCTAATTAAGTCTGTTTATGAATGATTTGTTCGCAAGTAATACATTTCTTTGAAGCTAGTTGTTATCAAGGTTATATCACTGTGTAATAATATAATTTTTTCCTGCAGTTATGTATTTAAGAATTTTATCTAAATTATTTGGATGTTTAGAAAAAAAATTGCTTCTGCATAAAAATTAAAGGATAACAAAAATGTTTATAAATTTTTTTAATGATTTCCTGATTCTTACTTCTTGTAATTATTTTTAGGATAATGCAGCATGATCTTTAAGTTACTACCAACAATGTAAATGTAACTCTCTTTAAAAAAAGTCTTCTAGACTTTTAAAATTATGTCTGATAAAAAAGACGATAAGTCAAATATGGCTAATCCAGCAGGATCTGGATTACTATCTGACATTCGAAAGGCTGGGATTCTTAGAAAACTAAAAGTAAGTTTATTAATTCATTTAAGCTGCATTCTGTAATTTAGTTATACTCAACTGCATGCTATTAATATTTAAATATAAATCTTTAATATTGATCCATATGTATGTTTTAATGTTATAGAATAATTTTGATTGGCCAATTTAATAAAATAAAAAAAAACTGACATTTTCTTCAAGAGTAACTATTTTAAAAAGATGTTTTTTTAAAAAAAAATTTCTTCTTTATTTAGTAAATATGCTCAAATTGATTTGATGGACAATGACATTTAAAATTAAGGTTACTAATTTTTAACTATAAAAGCAACTTATTTGATTTGTTTAAGAAGTATTCAAAATTAATGATATGGAAATTTATGCAGCTTAAGAGTAAATTTAATCTTTTTAAAGTTTTTTTTTTTAAAAATTAAAATGAGGTAAAGGGCCATTAAAATGTTATGTAAACATACTATATTTTTAAAGCTTTCAGACTCTCTTGTGAGCAAGAATGAAACAAATTGCAATTTTTCCTTTCTCCACTGTGCTTATATGATTTTTCTTTTTAATAAGGATTTTTATTTCAAATGAAATTATTTTTCTATTTATAATTTGTTTTCTGACATAATGGGACTTTATTATCTTACATATGTATCTCTTATCTTAAGTGCTTACATAATATTTGAACTGCTTTAAATAGTTATTTTTTACTTTACTAGAAAGTTGATGAGTTTCTATTTCTTTATCTGAGTTTTGAAAAATTATAAATTATAATTTATTAAATATCCACGTTCATCACTTTGTCAGGTTAAAATGCGAAGAGGGACTTAAAAAAAAAGTTTATGTGCTTGTTGCCATTTATAGACGTAATAGAGAGTTCTTGCTTAAATGATATTAATAAGAACCTTCATGAAGCAACTGAGTAGACGGTATCATTTTAAAGTTTAACATTTGAACACAGTTTTGTGTATCCGTTAAAATGTTATTTTTTTCCACCACAGATATAACCTGAAATAAATATCAGTTTAATAATATGTTCGCAAAATATCATGGTAGTTACATTTTGTATAAACAGTTTTGAGAACATGTTTTAAATATTTAAGTTAACAAACTTAATGTATAAAGCTTTTAAGAAATAATATTTAGCTTATACATGGTTATTTAAATTTCTAAAAAGAGTAAAGGAATTTTATTGTTTATGATAATAGATTCATTAAAGAAAATTATTAACAGTATTATGGTTGCTTAAAAGGTCATGAAAATTTAATTCAGAGTTTGAAATAAAGGGAAAATAAAATCTTTGCACTTAAGCTCCTTTTAATTTTAAGTTTTTGTATAAAAGATTTTCTTTTATTTTTCAGACTATGAAAAAGAAGTATTTTGTTTTAAGAACTGAATCTGATAGTGGACCTGCAAGGTTAGAATATTATGACAGTGAGAAGAAATATAAAGCTGGAGGTGTTGCAAAAAGAAGCATATCTATAAAGACTTGTTTTAATATAAACCGTAAAATAGATGCAAAGCACAAATTTGCTATTGCATTGTACACTAAAGACGATTGTTTTTCTGTTGTTACGGATAATGAAAATTCTCGAGAAGACTGGTTAAATGCCATGTTGGAATTGCAGCTTGATGGTCCATGCATGAACGGTGGTGCTAAATTAAAACCAAAGTTTGGTAAGTATCTACCAAACTTTTTTTTAAAATTTATTTTTGACTGTTTCAGAGATGTTTCTAAAGAATGCTGATTGTGAAATTTTATAAAACTTCCTAATTATCATGTAAGGAAATTTTAAATATAAAGTAGTTATTGAAGGGAAATTAAAAAAAATTTGGAAATGAAATGTACAATTCTCTATTTGTTAACAGAAAATTGAAGGAAAATATTTAAAACTCAATTAAAATATATTTAAAAATCGAAAACATCAAATGTTTTTAAGTACCTGAAACATAATTTTAATATCCTAACAAATACAAAATGTTTTCTTAAATAACATCAGAATTTTAAACAGCTTTAAATCTTTGCATTTATTATTATCTATCAACATTTTATATTAACCGTTTGATGGATGGCATTATACAAGGTTCAAAAATTGTCTGTTTAAGTATTTTTCAAAAAAATCAAAACCTCAAAAAAGAATCCTTCACAAAATTTGAAAATTCCTTAATCAATCCTTTAACAAAACCCATTTTTTAAAATTGTATTTGATTAATCTTTTATTTTGTTTTTATATTTTCAAATGAAAAAGTAATTTTAAATTGTAGAAATGAATTTTTGTGGGACTAAATGTGCATTTTTATATGATGACTTAAATAAAAGTTTATTTGCTAACATCTGTTGTAAGACTGATATTTATTTTTCCATTTCGAAAGTGCTTGTTTATAGATTTTTCTGTATTTAAAAATTCTTAAATGAATGAAATTCTTAGCTAAATTATATGTATGATGTAGGTGTTATCAGTTTTAATTTTTTTTGAAATTTTTGCTATACTTCCATTTTTTTTATTCTTATCTTATTTCTGTTGCTATATAGTCTAAAAGTTTAGTAATCAATAAAGCAGTTTTTGTGACCACAGTTTTTACTACAGCCAGGGTGCGTAGCGTTTGTAAAAAGTACTTAAAGGTGCTTTTTTGGGCATTTCGTTTTTAAAAGCTTTTAAAGGTGCATTTTTCAGCTGGCGTTTTTAAAAAGTGCTTTTTTTTCCCCTTCAGTGATATCTGGTGGATCCCATGCATTTCACGAAAAATGGGGTGTTTGCTACGTAATCATTCACGCTGACTTCAAGTCGTACCCACGTTATGACTTGCGCATGCGCACAGACTTGAAACCGAAACCCTAGTGCTCCAATTCGGATGGAGAATATCAGATCCTTATGAAATGTTTTTCTTCTTAATTTATTTTGATTTTATTATTGTTTATTTTACTTCTAACACTTTTTTGACGTAGGGGGTACGGGTACTTTTGTTCTGAGTTCAGGGTCAAGTTGAATTCACTCGATGATGTGGGAAAGTACTGATTGTTTCGATTTACGTCTGTTTCTTTTTGGGTTTTTTTTTAATGCTAAAACTGTTTGCAAAAAGTTTTTGTTTTTCAATGATATCACTGATTGAATATGAATTTTTTGAGTGCTTGAAAATTTTTGTAAAGTGCTTGAAAAGTTTTTAAAAAGTGCTTATTTTTGATTCAAAGATTTGGCTACGCACCCTGTACAGCACATTGTAAAAAATTTACTTATTTCTGTCACATTTTGTATGAACTTATAACTACCAAGAAAATTGCACACTTAGTTTCAAAATTCCTTAGACTTTCAAATTTTTTTACGGATTTGCAATGAAGTCTTCATAACTCTCAAGCAGCAAAAAAAAAAGACAAAAAACAAAAAATAATAAAAAAATTTTATAGTCGGAATTTGAAATTCTTGGATTGTAATAGCATATTTTTTTAAAAAAGAAATATCAAGATTTTAAAAACTAAATAAAAATCTCTCCGCTATAGTCTGATTTAGGAAATTGCATGGATTTACCATAAAATCCCCACAGAGTTCCTCTAAAAGTGATTTTTTAAATGTTACATTTGAAATTCCCCAGACAAAATGTCTTTTTAAAATATTGAAAAAAATATGTGATAATTGCCGAAAAGGAGATTGACTAAACAACGTTAATTTTATCGCTGGTAGCATTGTGAAACGAAAAAGTAATGATTCAAATGTGATATTCTTTGTATGTTTTAATGAAACCATCGATTTTAGAAACTGCCTAACAATAATATCAGAAGTTATTGGCTAAGCCTTTGTTATCTTGTTCAAGGTTGTTTTCTCTTCCTTTATTGGTTGCACCACTTTTTTTCTCATTACGATTTTCCATCATTCTGCATTTGCACACAGAAAAAGGTTTTTATTTATAGGACTGCAATATAGTATATCCATTTTTTATGCTTTTATTTGTCCTTAATTCACTTTGCTTTACATTATTGAAACAAGACCTGCACTAACAACTTCAAATTATTAGCCAAAGGCAAATCTTAACAATTTTTTATAATAAATTTTTTTCCCATTGAAAAATTCAAATCAAAATATAAATTTACTTTAAACTGAACTATTTTATAAAATTCAAATCAGGAGTAATTTTACAGTTGGGGAGAGAAGTAAATGAGCAATGAATGGGAGATCGGATGAAAAATGTAGATGTTTTATCATCTTGGAGGTAAATAAATAGAAATATGTTGGGGATCATTTTTGATAACTTCTTAGACTAGAGTAGTAATATAAGGATAAACCTGAAGCAACATTTGGTTCTATCAGACTATCTTTTAAATGTATATATATTTCATTTTAAGTTAAACGTTTCATACAAGTCTTATTTTTAATAAAAGAATTCTTTACTGTCTCGCTTATTTTTTATTGTAGCGATGTAATCATTCGAAGAAACAAGAATAACTGTAGAAGATAAGTTATTTGAATAATGTAATTCTACATCATACTGATTTAAGGTGTTTAAGGTAGATGTGTAAGGTAGCCACAGATATTTTTTTTTCTTTCTATTTCTAGGTTTTTTTTTTGTAAATTTTCAACTATATATATATTTTTTGATAGCTGTTATTCGTGTTTTATGTGTCTTGCATTTTTATTAAAGTTTTTTTTCCCTTTACCTTATACCAATAATACAGTTAAATTTTGATTATTTATTAAAAGCGCCTAAACTTATTTCTATATAAAAAATAATGTGTTAATGATTTTTTATTTTATTTTAATTTTGCTGCTCGGCTGCAGAGTATTCGGTCAAATCACTATTCCTTACATTCTTAGATACAAGATTTGTTCAGATAAAATTCGTATTTATGTAGTTTTCAGGATTGAAGAGAATCTGTTTTTATTATTTTAGAAATACTCATTAGCCAGTATTCTTTGCCAAAGCACAATTTGTTTTGCCAAATTTCGGATTTGATCGCATTTGGCGAGGTAGCAAATGCTTAACACAAGCCTTGTCCAAACCATAAGATTTACTAAAAAATGGTCAGAAAAAGAAGATCTAAAGATTATTACACAAAAGTGCTGTTTAAAATTGTTGTCATGATAATGTATTAAAAAATCAGGATTTTAAAAACAGAGTACATTTATATGGTACTTATTGAAAAAACACTATAAAAAAATTAAGGAAGATCTAAGGCTAGTGAAATTTAGTTTTGCTCATGTACAGCAAAAGAATAGCTTATGGCTGATGTGAATTTGATTTTTCTTTTGTTTTACTAAGCAGCATTACATAATGTTTATAAGTAATACTTGTAAGTTTAAGTCAAATATACTTCATAACAGTCGTGAGCTTATATTTTCAACTATAATGCATTTCAAGATAGTGAGAGTAGAGAAGTACAACACTTTCAAGACCTTGGAACTTTTTTCAAAGGGATATAAGATAAATTTCTAATTCAATTTTTTTCGTAACTTTTTCAAAAATTTTATTCTTATGCCTGTAAAATACATATCACTATAGAAATATATAGAAGTTATTAAAAAAAATTTATTTCTTCAGACCAGAACTGTTATATTCAACAAATATTTTTCACTATATTCTCCACTGCTTTTCTTGAAATCTCAAAACGCATGCTTGATAGGAAATCTTAGATTAATACCTGTTGTAATCCGTACTTTTGCACAATTATTTCTGTTACAACAGCTACAAAAGTATTTAAAATGATCTAAACATATCATCAGCTATGGAACTAATTACACCAAGTGGAAAATACTAAAAAACATGCTAGGATGTATACCATCTCTAGCAAATATTCAAACACAACTTTTTTTTTAAAATAAAAAATTTTGGGATTTTATATTTGGTTATGCAATTGATAAACTATTTTCACAAAACCTATATAAAGTACCAGCTTGTGAATTAAAAATCACTTTATTTTTTCCAGAACATGTTTGGCAGGTGACGGTTGGAGATAAATCGTTAGCATCTTCACGCAATATGAAGGGGCTCTATCGACTATGTTTAACCCCTAGTGCTTTGGCTTTAGTCAAGGTTGATCAGTCTGATAATCCAGAAACACTGGAATTTCCTGTAAGTTTAGTTTACTCAATTGTAATGATTGATTTTACATTTTGTCTCTTAATGGGTCTTCTCTACAAATAGGCTATTTTCAGTTAGAGACAACTGGAAAAAAAAAATTGTTAGAAATTTCCAATTTTGTTTGTAATTAAATACAGAAGAAGGTACTAAATAAAATTAAAAAAAAACAAAAACAAATCTGCCACCATGAACATCACAGTGGCTTAGTTTTTGAGAGGAACCAAATTAAAATAAACTGTCACAATAGCTCTCTAAATTTCATACACCAGTAGAAATTTCTTATCTGCTAAATATTTGCAAAGAGATTATTTTTATCTCTTTCTTGTTTTTTCTTGATGAATTTAAGTTGATGATTCATAAAATATTTATTTATTTGTCTAAATATTTAGGGAGACAATAACTCCCTATCACCATCAACATCCATATCTGTCATGTTTAATATTTAAAAGTATACTAAGATTATTATTATTTTTTTAAAGTGAGAAAGTGGTAACAAGACACAGGAATAATAATTTTAATTATAAACATGTTTAAAATAATTTCAATGCATATATTTAAATATATCTGTCTTTAACTGCTATATAAAATAACGTGAAAGAAATTTTTTTTTTTTTTTTTGACCGTCACTAAAATTTAATATTTTTACTGTAAAAAAATTAGAAAATTTTTGTTTTTAAAGCTTAATCTCATAAATAAAATTAAAATAACACTATATATTCTTAAACTATCTCTTTAGAGAGAATAAAACATTTATTATTAATACATTCTTAGAAAGTAACTTCATAAATTACAAAAGTTTAATTTTCTCACAATGCGGGAATGATAAGTGAGGGAATGAAAATGTAAACCAGGGGTCTGTCCAAGCCGAATTTACTACCATTTAGCCGTACCTTCACAAGTTCAACTTTAGGATACAAAATACTTTTTCTTAAAATTTTATTTTTGTATCCCTTACGAAACGATAAATCCATATTTTTGTGTGGATTTTTTGATATTTTTAATTTTTCACAAATTATGTCTAAATTTTCACAAAATAGGTACCTCTCAGAAAAACCTAGATAGACCCCTGTAAACAGTATTTGCCATAAACTAATTCCCATGAATGAAATTAAAATAACATTATATATTCTTTAAGTATCCTTTTAGGAGAAATTGAAACTCTTATTACATTTTTTGTAATAGCATCATATTAAAAATATCGAATATAAAAACCATGTAAAAAATGCTGTTAAAATGATATATAACTGACGCAAAACTTATCATAAAACGAGGAGAAATTGTGGTAGAATCTAATGCATCAAATAGTGATAACTCAAATTTGAATTTTGAACGTTGCGAAAAAACTATCAAATGACTTAAAATTATGATGAAATCATCATGAATCGAGCGCTTCAAAAATGTGATAACTCAAGTTCAAAAAACGCATGTCGTAATAATGTATAAATGTTTGTCATATGACATATAGGGGAGTGTCAGGTACCCCCGCCCACTGCCAATTTCATATGTATAGAATATTTTTTCAAGTAAATGGGCCATTGGACATTAATTGTTATATTAAAAAAAGACTATTTTCAAAGTTTCCAAGTATTTATGATAAAATATTCGTGATATACTCAAGTATTTGATGTACTCAAGTATTTGTGATAAAAATGATAAATGAGGTTTATCTATTGTCAATACATTGGTCATTTTCATTTACACCTGAAAAAGCAGTCAAAAAACATAATTTTTGTAACTGGGCGGGGCTACCAGACACATTTTGAAAAGAGCTGAGAAACATGTTTTTTTTTAAATTTCTATTTTTTTAAGTTAAGCCATTTTTTTGGTTTATTCTTTTTGCATTATTTAATTAGATGATAAAACAATCGAAACATACAAAAATATTGATTATTACTCAATATTATACAGGAATATAAGCAATACTCTTTAAGTGGGCGGGGCTACCCGACTGTCCCCTATTATATACAATTTGAAAATCTATAGGGGAAGGGTCAGGAAAAAAACCAGATTGATTCCGGCTGAAACACAATATATTTCTGTTGAGAGAACTAACAGAAAACCACGTGGATTTACCAAGGAGGAAAAAAAAAGACATAAAAGTCGTTTAATATACGTTGTTTAATATATCGGGGCGCATGTTCAGATTTGTAGGGCATGCGGGTCAAATTTTTTTTTTTTTTTTAGATAGGCAAATGGGGCGCACCGCAAACCCCGCCTAGAATTAATCCTGTATAAGGTAAAAAAAGTAATTGAAAGACTTTTAACATACTTTATTTGTATTTTTTTTAACTTCTTAAGCTGTGCACTATGAACTTCCTTTAAAGCAAATATCAATTATATTATGTTTAATAAATAGTAAGTATTAAATATTTTCTTGAATCTCAATTTTAATGCTTTTATTTATTTAAAATATGATTTTTTTTTAAAAAAAGGTAACTTGTTTGAGCAGTTTATAGTTTGGAAATAAATATTAATTTTGGTTTATATCTTGAAAATAAACATTAATTTAGCCAGCATTGTTAGCATAAAGCTGCGTAATCAATTTAAAAATTTCATTTATTTTTTAGTTGATGAGTATAAGAAGATGCGGGCATACTAACAATTATTTTGTTATTGAACTTGGTCGATCTTCCGTAACTGGAGCTGGGGAATTGTGGCTTGAAACTGAAGATGTTGTCATAGCTCAAAATATGCATGAAGTCACTCTTAAGTAAGGAGATCAGTTTATTACAAATGGTGTAAAGTTTATTAAACTCTTAAATTATTTAAAACTTTTCCACATTCAATGATATGTTATTGCTTTTGATTGTATATAAATTTAAGTTAATCTAATATTTTAAATTATGAAATAGGGCACGTAAACCTACTGTACATATTTAAAAATACTTTATTTCAAACGGAATTGAATTCTATATATTAAAAATATGAAGGATTGCCACAAATTGAAAAATATGGCCCCAATGGTTTCGCTCAAAGGTTTATTTCCTTTATTATTAATTTACTGAGATAGTTTCTCCCATAGTGATATGATTTAATAATATCCCTATATAAGACCCACATATTAAGATAACCAAATGTTCTACCACTCTTCTTATTAGATTTTCGATACTGTAATTTTCTGTTTGTTGCTATCTCCATGTTTTGATGGCCAAGAATTTTTGTAAAGAAATAAAAATTGCTTAGTAGTCAAACTTTCCTTAAATTTTTATCAAGTTGATTGGTTTGGTTGACTTTGGTTTCTCTCTACTTAATAGTGTTAGTTATGTCTATTTGTTTTCCATTGAATCATTGTATTAATTTTACCATAATATCCTTTTTAAAAGTTATGTTTGAAAAACATAAATAGCACACCTTTTCCATGTTGATTTTCGATTTTCGCTACGAATCATGCAAAAAGACGCAGTTCACATTGTTCTATTTAACATTTTCACAGTTAATTCAACCCCAATCTATTTTGATGTATTGTCGGTCCGTAGCGTATGAAAGTGCCATTTGTTTTACATGATTCAAAACTTCGAGATTTTTGACAATTGTCAAAAATAATGCCAAAAGTTTTTTTTTTGACATGATGGTTGAAACAAGAAAAAACAGTCAATTTTTAAAAACTTTCCAATCCTGCCTAATTGTGATATTTTTTTTTTTAAAGTGCTAGAAAATATTTTTTGAGTGCTTGAAAAGTGCTTAAAAGATGCTTATTTTTTGTTGAATAATTTGGCTAAGCACCCTGTTTAATTAGTTCAAGACCAGCCTATATTAGTAGGGTTTCAATTCATTAGTTTTTTCAGTTTTACAAAAATAATAAATTAGCTAAATTGCTAGTACCTTTAGACATTGTTTTACATTCTAGAAAACCCACTTTTGGTGGCCGACTTCCTCCGGGTCATGAATTTCATGGACATTGTTCAGCCCTGCTAATTTTGGACATTGTTTTATAAAGAAATTTTCTTAAGTCTACTATAATAGATGGTGCAATTTTTACTGTTCTGCTCTATCTAGTTCTAAAACAGAAAAGTTTCTTTTAGACTGCATAAATCATGTATCAACAGATTAGTTTTTGTCGCAAAAGTCAGAACTCTAGGAATTTATTTTTTGTTATAAATCTTGGTTGATCTAAAATTGTTAATCTTAAGTTTATAAAGATTGCTTCTTAAGACTGATCTAATAAATTCAGCCACATAAAACTAGCTTAAATAATTCTTGAAAATTAAATGAGCTCTTTTACCATTGTTTTTAGTGCGATGAAATCTTGTCGGGAGCATGAAGATCTGGGTCCTCTTTCAAGACCAAGGAGTGCATCTAACAGTGAAAATTCCAGACCTATTGCAACTAGAAGACCAGTTGCTGTAGTTAGTCCACAAACTATATCTTATGGAGGTATCAGAGATCGTTGTGATAGTATGCCCTCAAGATCTCGCACTATTAGTGAAGGACAGCAAGTCAATAACAGGTATTTTCATACTTAAAATACAATCGAACTTCAATTTGACGGCTCCTAAGCATCAAAAGATTACTAGCATACATACTAGATTGATGTTACCCTATAACTGTGGCCTATAAACCCCGCATTCAATTCAACCCTATTACTCTTATGACAATAAATCAAAATTTGAACTGATAGAAAACTACAATTAAACAGGAAAAAAATATATTGATTTTTCTTTCGTAATATTGTATCATTATTTCTGATAGAAAAAAAACAAAGGTGTTTTATTTTCTCAATCTCTTTTTTAGATGCTAATAATTTTGAGTAATTCTACTCCTAGCTGAATGCTTATACATTCAAAACTACTTGAAAAGGGTTCCCAATAATTCGAAGTCTTGGATTTTTCAATAGACATCTGGACCTGTGAATATCAGATAACTGGCTTTATTAATCATTTGAGAGTGATATATTTGCATGATAAAATATTCTAAATAAGCAATAGTTTAGTTTTTTCCTTTTCTTCCTTTTCTACTAGATGCTATTTTATAAAGTGAATTTTCTTAGTTTAAGTTTGTTTTGAAAACTAATTTTTTCTCTAATGTTCTAGTTATGTTGACTGTTTTTGCATATGTGTATAAAATTTTATTGGTCCTTTTATTTTTATCAATGATAAAGCAAATCTGTTTTTAAATATTTGATTATGTTGAAATGAAAAAGCATTTTTAGGAATGTGCTCTTCAACCAAACCTTGAGAGTCATTCCATAAATTGCAATTCGATTTTGGAATAGTATTTTCTCAATCATTTTATTTTGTTAACCTATGGGCATCATACAGGCGTACCACTTTTCTATGAATTCTGCTAAATTCCTCCTGTATTCTATCATAAGACTTAACAGTTCTAAAACTCCATAAATTGTTATGTTGAACTTGGGGACCATCTTGAAACTGTACATAAGTGATTGAAGTTATCTATTCTACTCCATTACTTTCAGAATTATTTATATTTTTAAATATTGCGATGAGAAAAGATTGATAAATTTTCCTATCATCCTATAATTAAGGGTCTTATAATTATTTACTATTTTAAAGAAAATCAATTTTATATGGTACAGCTGAGTTGCTTCAAAAATTTACATTTTCTTTGTAAATTTATTTAAATGCTTTTAAATTCACGATTACTGTAGTCACAAATAAAGAGTTGTAAACAAATTATTTGAAAAAATAATGTTTGGTAGCATTCAAGTCTAAAGAAACATTTTAGTTAAAAATATTAAGTAATGGTAAAATTATGAAACCAAATTACAATTTTTAACCAAATAATAAATAGTTAAATTATTTTTTGGAAATGGTTTGTGTTCAATTAGTAATGTTATCTTGAAACATAACGAAAAGTTATGTAACTTACCGTAAATAATGTAACTAATTGTAAGTGAAATTATTTTAAATAATTGCTTAAAAAAAGTATTTTTAATATAATATATACTTTGTATAATCTGGCATTTCGTCTGAAAATTAATAATTTTAATTTTGGTTAAATTTGTAATTAATATTTAATTTATGGTTTGGAAAATAGGTTTCTAAAATTTTATGCTGCTATGCAAAGTTCTTTTCTTCCAAAACTGCTGTAGCATATATTAATCCTATCTTAATGGATGAAGCAATAAATTTCATCTCTCTATCCTTGTAATTTTTTAACCTAAATCGAAAGACAAAAATCTTCTGAGACTAATCTAGGAAATTAATCCACATTTGATTTACATTTCGAGATAAAGTTCCTGCTGATTGATTAATTTCTGCCATAACCTGTTGTGAACCTGGTGGTTGTAGAAGTTTAGACTCCTCAACTAGTTGACCAATAGCATGCTGTTCACATTGTGAATAAAGTGCCTTAACTTCTTGGACTAATTAGTACAGATCAATCTGAACTTGGATGAGCTTTAAGCTGACAATGAGGATCGAATTCTGTCTTTCTTTCAAGCTCACGCCTTTAACCACTATGTCATTGTGGCTCAGTTGTTTTTAATGTCTGTATGGGTAAATATGTTTAGCCAGTTCCAAGTCAGTGTAGGTAAGGCACAGTTTAGGAATGGATTAGTCATTTGCCAGGATTTGAACCTGGAATTGAATAATAAATCTTAAATTTCATTTAGTATTAACAAAGTTAAATCTCAATTTTAATTATAGCACTGAAATTAATCAGAGTATCATTTTTTTCTAGAGAAATGTTGGTTTCAAATGCTTTATTTAAGAATCAAGTTTAAATTATTTTTAAAAACAAACATTACACTTGCTTAATATAACTTCATTATTCTTGTACAGTTTTACAACATTTTTAAATAGCCTGAAATGGTATAATGTATGGTATAATGGTAAATAAGTAATAAGTATAATGGTAAATAAGTAATAAGTATAATGGTAAATAAGTAATTTGCAGTAGATGGAATAAAATAAATAACAGTAATCTATGAAATTTGAAGTGATATACTAAAAAAAAATACTGTTTAAAATTACGCATTTTATTTTTTTGACACAATGACTTTTACAAACCTTTTTGAGGTAATTAGACTCACAATTGCTTCAATAATGTCAAATATTTACTAAGTATTTTTGACACAAGACACATCTAATAGCTTGGCCTTAGTCTCTTACAAGAACAAGGTGATAATTACTGGTTTATATTTTTGAATTATTTTTATATTATTTTAATTCTATCAATGAATTATCATTTGATATGAAATTAAAATCTATAAATTTTTTGTATTTTGTTGCATATTTTCATATTTACTTTTATTTTTAAATTTTTTATACTAGTTAGCAGAGATTAAATTGTTTATACCCAATCTGTAGTATTAAATAAAATGTTTATTTTTTTATTCTTTGTACTTTTTTTAAATTTTGATCATTTTATTGTATTTTTCAGAGGAATTTATTCGCATCAATTTGTGTATGATTCATTGAGGCCACATAATAGTAGTTATTCCAGAACGGTGTCCTGCTCACCTCCTGGTAACCATAACCCTCTAAGGTAGAGAATCTTTAGCATTTATTCATTATAAATTTATTTAACATTGCAATAGTGTTGAAAATTTCTTTAAATATAGTAAATATAGTTTAGATATAGTGGAAGATATCAATTTAAGACTACAAAAAGAAAATTACTACATGCTTTTATACAAAACAATTTTGTCGTATGGGCTTAACGATACCTTCCAACATACACAGATTAACTTTAATAACTCCTCAACTTACTCATTTTTCCTTATTAAAGCTAAGCGTACAAATCGAGGTAAATGAGATCAAGAAGTAGTAAAAACTCTCTTAATAGTAACAAAGTAAATTTGAATGTTATTTCTTATATGGAAAGAGATTTTAATGAACATTATAATATTAAACCAATGAAAGACTTTGTTTTCTCCCTTAAGAATAATGATTATTAGAGTCAAAATCTTATTAACTTTTCTTTTATTAATTTACACTTCAAAATTCTTTGTTTTGATCTTGTAAAAACTGAAATGAGTAAAATTTCCTCAAATAAAAAAATTCATTAAATATTATTTATCCTGAGAAATTAATCTTGCTTCGTAATCATGAAGATAATTTTAATTTTTTGGATTTAGTTATTAAAAAAATAAGAAAATATCTGCTTTGTTGATTTATACAATAAAATAAATTATTTTAATTTTGATATGAATAAAGTAATTACTTTGAGTTCTAATATTTCTAAAAAAAATCTATTTAAATATCATTTTTAGTCAAATGAATAGAATTAAAGGAATATGTAGTAATGTTTATTTATCCAAAAAACAAAAAAAAAAAAAACAAATAGACAAACCCTTTCAAAATTTGATTAAAAAAAAACATTGGATACCCAATGAAAGTAATTAAATTCTATATAAAATCGTTAAGTTAATTGTATGTTATTATTAATAAATTGATTAACAACTTGTTTGTTGATTTATATTTTTTCATGTGCAAATCCAATTTGGACAAATCTGTGCAAAACGGACAAGTCATAGTCTCTCTCTCTCTCTTTCTTTTTTAAATTTGTATAATCAAATATCAACCTTATTAATTATAAACTTCTTTAAATTATCCAGTATACATATCCAGTATAATACAGTTGAACCTGTTTATCTCGAAAACCTCTATCTCGAAATTTTTAAAATTCTCTACATTTACTGTCTAAAATCAATGTATTTTCCATGTTTATGTCGAATTTCTAATAATAGAGCTTAAATGTCAAAACTTTTCTTATCAGTAGAACTCGTAGACAGAGATGAATTTCGTGAATCCACAGGAAGTGGGGATGAACAGGTTGGGGGTGTTTCTTGGAATTTCAATCGCTATGTCTGCACTTCCTAAACTAGAAAGGAATACAATGATTCTGGTAATAAGTGAGGGGTTAATGAACTCTTCAACATAGATAAGAAAGCTAAAAATAGAAAATCATTTTTGACCTCAAAATTGCAACCAATGGATCAAAGGATAATTAGGAGTTTTAAAGTGAACTATAGAAAATGATCTATGAGGAATTTGCGATCTTTCTAACCTCAAAGAATAATAGAAACAAATAAGGTTATCAGTAAAAATCTTTTTCAGTGTTAAATGTATGTTAAAAAACTGTTATGTAAATAGGCATATGTGCTATATTTAATTTAAAGAAATGTCTATATTTTTCAACTAAAAACAAAGCACTTTTAGTAGAATTTGTTAATTAAATTTAATTTTTTTATAGTACTTGTATAACTTGAAACCTCTTTATCTCGAATTTTTTGCCTTTCCCGTGAGATTCGAGATAAACAGGTTCGACTGTATAATCTTGCGCGCATCCATTTTCGTGCCGTTCCTTGGTAACTAAAAAATCAAACCCGCTTCAGTACTGCAGTAAGAACTCACCATAAAACAAAATCCCTCTATTTACGCTTTTAGCTCCATTTGCACTTCAGTTTTCATATTTTGTAATCTGGCAATATTACTAGGAAAATATTTTAGCATTTTTGAAAGTTTCCCGTACATATAAGTTTGTTTGAATTTACTACTTGCTTTATAAATTTCGCTATTTTTGAATTGTTTATTGAAAACATTAGTTAATAGTTAAATGAAATAGTTTAATTCTATAAAGTACTTAAAAATAGTTTGGTTAATTTCAATTAAGGGCTTGAAATATTAAAAAAAAAAGGTTTAAATCAACAACAAAAAAAGTTTTTTTTTTTTTCAACCCTGATTTCTAGTTATAAGTTGGTATTTACATTATTTTTCTTGCATTATAATGTTTGTTTTTGGTTTGTGTTATAAGAAAAACAAGCTATCATTACAAAAATAACTAAATTTTATTAATATTTTTTTAATCATGTTTTATTTATATTTTCTAGCCCCAGCTCAAATGATAGTGCTGGTAGTTCTCTTTCTATTGATGAGTTTGATGCTGGTCAACAAACAGATTTTGCTCATGGGTGAGTATTAATTTCTCTTGATTCATAAATTTATTTTTCACTTCACAAATTTAATGCAAGCAATTTTAAATTTTAGACGCTATATCCATTGTCATCCTACTGATGGAGCACTTCATACTGAACCTCCCATCAAAGAAGAGCAACTGGATGATTATGTGCCTATGTCTGTAGGCAAGTACATGTTTAGTTTCCATTATTTAATACTAATAAACTGTTTATAAACTTAGTGTAAATACGTTCACTCATATTAAATTTATTTTTACACAAAAGTTTATGCTTTTTTCTTTTTTTAACATGCTTTATCTAATTATCTTACCGAGTNTTTTTTTTTTTTTTTTTTTTTTTTTTTTTTTTTTTTTTTTTCTTTTTAAGGAAAGAAATGGAAATGTTAGTGAAATTTGAAGTATGGTACTGCTAAATGTTCTATAGTGTTTTTATGATTTATTTCAAGTTTTTTTCATAGTTGGGGATTTGAGTGTAACTCTTAAATCTCAATTTTTTGATTTTAAAATTCTAATAAACAGTTAATTTATTGAATATGTAATTAAAATATTTGTAAAAAGTATTCTTATCAAAAAGTGATTATTCTTTTTTTTTTGTGCAAAAATAAACTTTTGAATCTTTTTTATTTGCAGGAAGTTGTAGTAGTACTACTGATGGTTATTTATCAATGGCTCCTATATCTTCATCTGTTCCAACTAGTATGTCTTTACATTTAAACACTTCTGATGCCATTTCATATCCAAGTTCCTTGCCTTCGATAACTCAACCTAATGACTATATGGAGATGAAGTCCCCTACTGGTAGAGTACAATTTATTTTAATCTTTTTAATTTACTCAAATTATGTATAATATTTATCATGTAAAGTAGTTGGAGTATTCATAGTAGTTAGTAGTTCAATCATGAAATATAACTTCATTTTATTATTTTTTTAATATTAAGGTTTACATTTTATATGAACACAATGTAGTTTTTAACTATGAAAATATTTTATTTAAAATAACTTTTAACTGCAGAGTTATAAAAACAATTTAGATGACTAACTTTTACGAAGATATTTGGCAGTGCTATCTTTTTATGATTTTGTAATAGCAAAGATTTTTTTCATTTATCCTGTTTTTCACTTTTATTATTAGAGCCTAGATTTTAATGACCTAAAAAATTCTCTTAAAGGACTAATTAATGTAATATGACTAATTATTTGGGTTATAACACCAATATTTGTCCTGGTTGAATGAGCTTTGATTTAGTTTATAACAATTTATGTCATGAGTATTCTTTTTTACTATTTATATTATATTAAATATTGCCTTAAGTTTTGCACAAAAGTACCTCATAATGTATTAGAAATAATATATTAGAAATTATTGAAAATTTCTAACAAAGTAGATTTATTCGAAAATATTTTATAATTCGAAATATTTTAGAAATTTATGTTTAATTGAAAAGTTTGTGTATTAGTATTAAACCCTTAGAACTAAATGGTTAAATAATTTAATTATTAGAATATTAATTAATAAGAATTATTAGTAATTATTTTTAATTTGAAAGTTTCTAAGAAATAATGCTTCATTACATTATATTTAGGGAATGAACATCTTTAGTAGTTTTTGAAAATGAAACTGTTAAAATATCTCTTGAAAATTTTTTAAAACATTTCTAGGTTTGAAACTTATGAAAACAATAGTAAGACAGGTGCCAGTAATAGGTGCATATAAGGAATTTCTTTTTAAAGTTACATTTTATTAATAGTTATAGATATAGTATTTAAATATTTTTAAAGAATATATTAATCTGTCTACAGAATTACTAATTACAACTAGTTTCAGAGCTGTTGATCAAGAATATTAACAATATCCCTTGATTGTGAAATATGCAGCGAATTATGAAAAAATGAAGGTTAAATTTTTATTATTTAAATTGACCTATACAATTATTTAACAGTAACTAATAAAGAAATAGTTCAAATATAAAATAAATAAAATTTTGTATAATACTGGAAAATGCAATTCTTTTAGTCTGAAACTTTTTAAAAAGTAACTATTTTTATATTTGTTTTAATTTTATACAGAATTTTTAAATAATTTATTTTAGATTGTAATTTATGTAATAATTATTTTCCTAAATATCTTACTAATCACTTATATGTTGATAAATTGTATGTACTTATATTGTTTTCAGTTTACTAAATATTTTATTTAAAGAATTATCTAAAACAAATATTGCTTGCTGAAATATTAATTTAAAAAATTAAAAATTATTGAAAAATTATCTAAATTTTTGAAATGGTTAAATTTTTATTGCAATTTTTTTAATGAAATATAATTTTTCGTAATTTTATATATTAGTTTTGTTTTCAATTAAATTTCTTTAAAAAAAAAAAACTTTTATTTCAAATTAAAATAACTAGTTTTTCTTTCTAAATTTGTAATATTTGTGAATACTAAGCAAAATACTGTAAAGTTATCAAAATGTGAAGGGGGAAAAACAATCTTAAATATAACATTTATGTTTGGAAACTTACTAGTTTTGTTTTTAAAATAAAACTTGTAAGTCTTTAGATAATTTTCAGTGGGTTAGGGTCCCTTTGCCAACAAGCTAACCATGGGAGGTTCTCATGGTCTTCCTCTCCATGTAGCGCAAATGCGGGTTAGTTCCATCAGAAAGTCCTCCATGAAGGCGAAATATCTCCTAATACTTGATCCAAGAGTTCCCTTGTCTTCTGAATTGGGTTCAAAATTACAAGGCTAAGGAGTTGAATATTAGTAGTCATAAACCCAAAAATTGGGTCGGCTGTTCAACGACTGTCATAAAATAAAATAAGAACAATTCGGGGGAAAAAATCAAAAATTATTTACATTTTCATATCAGAATCTTTCTTAAACATTAGACAAAAAAACTTACAAAATTTCATATTTTTACAAAATTTCTTACAAAATTTCGTATGTATCAATAAAATCGATGATATTTCTTTTCTCGCGTTGGCAACAGTTTTCTTTTTTAATTGATAGGATTCGGCGTGCAAGAGCACGTAGTGAGCATCATATGGCTAATCTATATTATTTAAAACGCTAATATGTTTTAATTGATAGGCTTCAGCGCGCAAGAGCACGTAGTGAGTATCATATGTCTAATCGGGTGAATTCTCACCGAATTATCAAAAGCATTCTCACAAAATTATCTTCATCGAAGCCGATGCTTTACATCCGGCGTTCAGTATTGTATATTTCATATTGTTTTACAACACATGGTTTTAGCCCTCTGGTGGGAAAGACTTTAAAACAAAACTTACAACAGTTGCTTTCTCAACAACTGAAATTTAGAATAGTGTGATTAAGAAAAATATGTGAACTGTTTCCAATTTCAAATTAATATTGAAATGCACAGGTTTAGAATTTTCTACATTGAAAAGTTTTCGGAACTTCAGTGTTAAAAAAAGTATACAAAAGCTAGACGTTAAGAACGTATCCAATGAGCGAGCAAGGCAAGCCTCGGATTGCGAAGCAATCCGAAATGATCTGCGAAAGCAGTTCCGGGGATTGGCGAGCGCCAGCGAGCAGGGGGTGAAGCCTCCTAGTAAGAAATAATTCTCTGAATGAGCAGTTTTCCTTTTTCTTTTTTTTATTATTTTTTTTCTTCATTTATTTATAGAGGGAAAAAACTTTAAAAAAATACTTTCCATGTCTTGCTAACTTTTAAATTTAAATTTTCAGAAGGCTATATAAATATGAGTCCTCTAAGTATTGCTGCTACTTCCAATGAACTTAACACCAGTAAATTGTCTTCCTCTATGGACATTGTGAATAATGATTCCAGTCAAGTCAATGATGGATATATTCCTATGGCTCCGATTCGTGATCATTGTTCTTCAATTTCTTCAACTTCAACAACTCATGATGGTTATTTAGACATGGCCCCATTATCTTCATCTTTGCCAAAAACATTCTCTGGTGAGATACATTGAAATTTTTTAAATCATTTATTGTTGTTATAAAATCTGTGTAAGAATTATTTAGCTTCCACCTTGCTTTATTAGTGTCATGTGTACACTGCTGAGTAATAAAAATCAGTGCATCAAAAGAAATAAAACATTTCATTTTATTGATCTTTTTTCAATTAAATTTATGTCTCTCAATTTTAATAGATATTTCAGGTCACTACTGTTTTTTGGCTGTTTAGACCAATTTTCTCATATTTTAAAAAATTTCATAAATTAGAGACATTTATTAAAAGCAAAGTGCATTTTTTCATGTTTGTATGTACCATGTAAAAATTGAAGCATTTATTAGGTTTTCCTACCTAATGTTTAGTGAAGATAGTGCCTGAACCAGTATAATTTATTTCTTTTTCATTATTATAAATTTTATCCTTCCAAATTTCGCCTTAGCTTTCTGATAAACGATGAAAATTCAAATTCAAGAAATAAACTTCATTTGGATTAGTTCTCTTTACGCCAGGTGGCACATGCAGTGGTGGAACGCCACAATTTTGGCGTTCCACCACTTCCCTTGTACTCCACCAACTCAGCTAACCCAAGATGTCTCTTTTTTGTGGCTTTCTGAGTTTCTATGACTAGCTCACATATAACAGTTACATATATTTTGAGATAAATATATTAATTATAAAAATGGCTTTGTTTCATTTTTTCCTACTTTAAATTTTAGCTAGATATTATTAGAATTCTGAANATAAATTCTCATAAAACTTCATAAGATTAACAATTTGCAAAATAGAGAAATTCGCAAAATGGAAGTTCGTTAAATAGAAGTCCGACTGTATATAGTTTGAGATAAATATATTATTTATAAAAATGGCTTTGTTTCATTTTTTCCTACTTTAAATTTTAGCTAGATATTATTAGAATTCTGAAATATTATTTCATAAATTGCAAAAGTTCTTTATTCATATTCATAAATATAATTATCAATAATTATTTATAATTATTCCTAAATTTCAAATGTTATCAATAGATATTCATAAATTTCAAAAATAGTTTTTTGAAATTTATGAATTATTTCTATGTAATGTGTTTTAGTTTTCATAGTTTGAGAAGCATAATTTATTTTTTTATTGTACATAAACAGCGATTTTACAATAATTTGATAGTAAAGAAAATATTAGACATGACTACTCTGTCAATTGTCTGAAGATTGTGAAACATACTTTTTTTGGATTATACCTGAAAATTGTGCTAATTAACTGATTGATGAGTATCATATGCTTATGAAAATAATGAAGATATTCTTGAAGATTTTGAAAGCACGGTCTATGATATCTATTCAAACATTACATTTTGTCTTAAAAATTTAAATTCTTTTTATTAATTAAACTTGTGTTGTTATTATTGTTTCTAATGTCACTTGCTGATACCAGCAAGTCTGCTTGGTGAAACCGAGCGAATTTAAGGCCGAGGGTGCATTTCTTGTTTTTCAGTGGTGCCATATTTGGCTAAAAATGCGACTTCAGCCACACACGTCACAGCTGTTTTATAAAACGGGCCCATACGTACATCCAGTTATTCATCCCCAGATTTACCTCAGATCGACAGTAACCAGACAGATTTAACTTGCACCTGTCACCATTTACTACGGGAGTCTTCCTCCCGTGGATATTGAACTCACGACCTCTTGGACATGGGTCCAACGCCCTACCAACCAGACTAATCTGGCCTAATTAAGCTTGTAAAGACAGTCTTCATATTCTCTCATGATCATGCTTCTATGGAATGGAGCTTTTCTGTTTTTAAGCAAATTACGGCTAATACAAGGTCAAGGATTAGTTTAAGTACGTTAGTAGGTCTGAGAGTTATTAAAGATTTGTTTAAAGAAAAGGCAGTTAGTGAAGTTACTCAAGATGCAGTATTACGAAGAAACACGCAGCAATATAAAGTGCAACAAGGGACGTATGGGGAAATTAGATGTTCCCAGAAAAACAAATTTCAACCTAAACATAGTCTATTTTCAAAAAATAGTTAACTAAACAAGAATTTTGAAGATTATTGTTGGAGAAAAATCTGAGATTATAATGGAACTCTATGAGTTACATAGAAGCTTTTATTGAGGTTGGTGACAATAGAAGCATTACAATATGAATTACTGCATATTAAAATCAAACATTGTACATAATAAAAATATCTTTGAGCTTGAAATAAAATGTTAATAAATATAATGTACATAATCCAGTTTTTCTATTATTTAATTTGGATTTTCTTTGTTAAATTAACTATTATAAGTCTGCTGTATCATCTTTGATTTACTTTTTTCTAGTGATTTCTAATCATAGCACTAGTATGTCATCTCGTAAGGACAGTAACTCAAAACTTTCAGACACACCAGTGTCAACTCCGAGCAGCACAAATTTGGAGGATTTCCCTCTTGATAAGGTATCTTTCTTGCATTATTTTTTAACTGTATTAATCAGAGTATATACCATTAAATTCATTGATTGCTTTTAAGGAGATTTTGAGTTGTATATTGTCTAAGGGCAAAAACCATTGATTACACAGGTTTGCAATGAAAAACTGATCATAAAATCTGTAGTGTTTTTATTTTATTTATTTTGTTTTATTTATTTTTTGGGGTGGAAAGCTCATTTCTAGAAAATCATGAAAACATCTTATGTGCAACAACAACAAAAATGAACCACCCTGAATAATTTGTGATCTAATGATCGGATCTTGATGTTTTGGGACTCAATTCAAATATGCTAATTAATAATGGCAGAAGATATTTTAAGAAGATATTCAGTCAAATTGTTCCTTAAAAAACTAGTTTTAAGTATGGGACTTTTTTGAAATTGAATTTCTCAGGAACTATTCAACCGATTTTGGCTCCAATTTTGTTTTCTGCTATGTAAAATTATCTTAAAAAATTGTGAAAAAATTGTATACCTTACAATTCAAAATTTTTTGGAACCATTATTAAATAAAGTATTAAAAACTATTAAATATTTACTAAAAGTTAACTTTTGCTTGGAGTTAGTTATCTTTGGAGGAACAGATTTTATAATTGTGTGCAAAAAATTTTAAATTCCCTTAAAAAGTTCTTGAGATGCAGCAAAATATGCCAAAAATTAAATTAACATTGAGGGGTCCAAACTTTGGAATGCTCTCCGAACCAAACTATTGGAACCTTATTTCCCAAAATACAACTGCCACCTGTATTTTGGGGGTCAGAAATCCGTATCCGTTGAAATGTTTATTCAGAGAAAGTGCATTTTTGTATCTTTATATGCAGTCAGTATTTTGTAACTTAAAATATTGTCTGCACTTATTAATTAGCATATTTGAAGTCACTCACTCGGACCCTTAAGGTTGAGTCCTAGAACGTCAAGATCCGATCAATAAATCAAAAGTTATTCAGAGTGGTCCTTTTTTTTGCACTCTATACATTATCACAAATCTCATGTAAATCATTATCTTAAATTTCAATCTTTTTTTTTTTATATATATATACAAATTTAGCATATTTTATCTATTTGTATTCTTTTTTACGAAAAAAAGATATATTTATGCAATACTTGACAATAATATTTATGAACTTAAAGTAGTACATTAGAAGATAAAATAACTAAGCAATAAAGAAAAAGCTATTTTATTCTAAAATATTGCGGAATCAAAAAGCTGTCATTATATTATTTGTGGCAATTTCTGTTTCACTTGTTCAGTAGAAGGGTTACACAACAGATGCAGAAAAAAAAACAAAAATCATTATATTAAGAAAAAGTGGCTTTAAGATCTTTCTCAAAATTATTAAAATTGACTAGTTGGTCAGAAGAAAAAGTGTTACTTACACCACTTTATATAAAATTGGATCTTATGAAATAGTTTGTCAAATCTCTCTCAAGGAAGGTGAATGTTGCGTATACCTTTATGAACAGGGCCTGAAATGAGAAAAAGTTTGACTATTCATTGCTAACAAAACCTTTCAAACTATAGTCATTACTAGTTTTCTTGGAAACGAAAGGGACAGCAACTCTTGATAAAAGAGAAGATTTTTTTTTTTCTTCAAAAAAAAACAAAAAAATCCAAATTTTATGTTGCGTGAGCTTAAAAGTTGACTTTCATGATTTAACATTTGAACTATTTTCCTGAAAATTTAGGTACTGATAGCAGGGTTGGGAAAAAAAGTTTTTTTTTTGGGGTTTATTTAAGGCAAAAAATTAAATAATATTTTAAGCCCCAAGTTAAAAGTAACTAAAGCTTTAAAAAGTATTTCACAGAAATCTTTTTTTAACTGTTAATTAATATTTTGAATTATAAACTCAATAACATTTACTTCACTCCAGTTCTATAAATATGCAAACATACTAAAAAAAATATGACTAAAGTAGTAAATATAATTATTTACTACTTTACAATTCCCCTTAACATGCAAATAAACATTTATTATCTCTTTCAGTAGTGCATGCATGTAAAAGTTAGTGTCCTCCCATTGATTGTCAGTACATGTAAAAATGTTGTAATGCAGCATTTTGTCTTAATGTTATTATCTAGCATTCTTCAGTATGTAACATTATCCATTACTTATATAAACATTTCTTGTTTCTTCTTTTTTAATTTATTTATTGATTCAGTACAAATTTTAGTATGAAGTGCGAGGTATTCAAGGCAATACATATTTAAATTAAAAATTATTTAAAATAAGTAAATGAAAGGAAACATATGGGCTTTATAAATACATATAAAATAGTAAGGGTGTATTTAAGTGTTAATGGTTTGTAAACTAAACAATAAATTACTTTTTCATTTATTTCAACATAGGTGCTTTAAATTTAACAATATTCTTGCTTATGTATTACATCATAAAGTAACTAAGAAAAAATTGTTTAAAAAAATTTTAATTGAATTTTGAATATTTTTACTTTAATTTTTTTAAAAAATATAACATAAAAAATTTAATTGTAATGAATAAGTTGCGTTACAATAATAAATAAGTGTAAAATATTCCAATAATGAATATAAACATACTGCATAAAAACAGTACAAATTTGCTTACACTGCTGACAGAAATAATTCTAAAATTAAAATGAAAAAATAAATAGAACTATAAAAATAATAAATAAAAGAAAAAAAGCAGCGGTAATCAGTGTTACTTTTTTACCACTGCTTTTTTTCTCTCCCTAATTTATATTTAAAAAATGATCATTTTTTATAATAAAAATTAATCATTTTTTAAAAATGATTCAATTTCCCTGACAACAAAATGGTATTTTTCACTTTTTTTTTACCCCTCTTTTAGTTTGAAAAACTGTTAGGCGCCCTGTGTAAAAAAAATTATGATACGATAGAAATAAATTAATTTCGTTTTCAGAATCAGTATTAAAAATAAAATAAAAATATTTAGTCCTTAAATTTGAAACTATTTTCGAAAAGTGTCTTTTTGCATGACTATGTTATTAATATTTTCCAATGACATATGAATGTGAAGTTGTTTATTTTTAATTTGCCTTTGCTGATTTAATTCAAAGTTTATTTAAGAGAATACTGTAAGTATCTCTTTAAAAAAAAGTGTAAAATTTTAAGAGAAATACAATAAATAAATATTAATATGTGTATTCTTAAAGTTATTCCATATTAAAAAAAATCATTTTTATTACTAATTTTACAGCTTAAATTTTAGTATTTTGTACCCGATTTTTCTGATTTGTTCTGATTGCCATAAGAAATGTAATGAATAAGAGGTATAAAGGTTGGTGAAAATTGTTGTTTGCAATTAAACGTAACCTGTAATTTTGTTAAAATTTTCTTATAGAACCTGTTATAAACAAAGAAAACAGTATTGATACCCTTTGACTAACTTCTAATTTTAGGTGAAATCTTTTCTTGCTGACCCAGATGATTCATCTTGTGATTCATATATTCGTCCAGTTCGTGCATATTCAATGGGAAGCCGTCCTCAGGTTGGTGATGATACTTTAGATAGCGATATTGGCTTTTGTTTTTGCTTTTTAAAGTTGTGTAGATTTGTTCGAAAAGCTTTTTGTGAGCATTGCAATTAAATTTGATTTATTACAAAATATTAACGATTCCATTTTACTTCATATTAATTCTAAATATATTAACTATTACATATGAAAAGAAGCCAAATTAAATATGAAAAAAAATTTCAGGTTCTTATGCCTCTAAGATTTAATAATTTTAATGAGTTCTACAAAGGATTAATAACTATTAAAATTACATGTGCGTGTACTGCATGCTATCTCTGGTGAAATAGTGTAAGGAATTTCTTAATTTTTTTTATTTTATACAACAATATGTATGTTAAAGTATGCCTTTTTTTTAATCAGAAAATTACACAAATAGTATATTTTTGAGATTTTTTCTAAATTTCCGTTTTATAGCTTCTTTAAAAAAAAAAAACTAAAATTACTTTTTATCATTTTAAAATGTTAAATAGCCATATTTTGTAAAATGCTTGGAAGAATAATTTTAATAAATTTCTAACAGGGAAAAAACATAGGAAAAACAACAGGGAAATAGGAAACAGTGAAATTTATTTATTGAAGTTTAACCAGGCATTAAATTTTAGAACAATTAAAAAAAAATTAGTTTTAATACTGTCAGCTTTAAAAATATTATGAAGCTGGTTTAGAAAATTAATTGAATTGCATCTTTTTGTTACTCTTTATCCAGAGCAAATATGTTTTCTTTTTAGCTTTTATCTCTTCATATTTTCTTATACATAAAAAAATAAATATTTATTCCAGCAGAGCAACTAATACCAATGGTATAGACATTCATATACAGAAAAAATAATGATGTATGGTTTGCTATCTTTTACAATGTGATACGTGAACTAGGAATTTACTCTACCCAAACTTAAAAATTAGTTATAAATAAGATTGACCTATGTCACTTATAGCTAAACAAATTACTTAATAATATGTCTGTTGCATATCAGACCATGCGAACTGAAATTTTTGTCCTCAGACTATACATTGTTGCTGCAAAGTATAATTATTTTTGAAACAATATTTTATAGTTTTTCACATTTTACCCCGCGTTGATGAATTTTTGACTTTGCCTTTTGTGACTTAGTGAGATTTATTATTTTTTTCTAAGCAGAATGCAGTAAACTGTATTATCTTCTGCCACTTTTTTTTTAATTGATTTAAATCGCCTGTTATTTTTGACTCCTGACAAGCCTAGTGCGAGAAACCTTCCAGCATGGTCTACTGATATTCACAGTATTTGTAGATTAATTTTGCTTCATGAAATTAAAAGATTTTACTTTAAGATCATCTACAAGTTTACCTTTTATATAGATTTTTTTTCTTTTTTTCTTCTGATTTCTTTATTGTGCTTTAATGTGTACAACCAGGCCTTCTGCTCTAGAGCTGAGCTATTTATTAAGTCCTACCCTTCCTTTTTAAGCATCTAAACTTGTTTTTTTTTTTATCAAAGTTATAATGAATTTACAGATTATCGCTTTGGACAAAAGAGAAATTATTACTTGATTACTGGCTTTTATAGTACACGAATAAAAATTTAAGCTACTAAATTTTTTCTGCTATTTTTAAATACCTTATACCAGGGGTGATTGTATCCGGAGTGTACCCCAGAATTCCGGGTTTTTTGTATCATCCGTCTAGGTCTAGGAGCAGGGCATATGATTTTTCGCAGCTAAATTTTTACTGCAATCTAAAATTTTAATTTTGAAACCTTTGCTGAATCGCGTTAACAAGACGATTTCGTACGCGTAACTCTTCCGCAATTTTGAAAATGCATATTTTTGGGGGGCGTTTGCCCGATTTTTATGGTTCTTAATCTTTGAAACTATGCCTGCATCCGCTAATATCGCCATTCATATTCACGCGATTTCAATATCAAATATTGATTTTCGTATTTACCTGATTTAAAAGTTACTCATTGTTAAATAATGTGATTTAAAAGTCTTACATAGTAATTCCTATTTACATGATTTTAAAATCCAATATTGCAATTTGTATTTAACCATTTTTAAAATTAATATTGTGATTCATTTTCACTCTAGTTTAAAATCCAATATCGTAATTCTTGTAAGTACTGAGCTTTTTTCTTAAGTTAATTACTATAGAAGTATGATATTCTTTATTGGTAGGTAATTTGATTAAAAATCTTAGTTCAAAAAATTATATAAAATATGAATACATGGTGCGTAATGTTTTTAAAAAGTGCTTATTTTCGATTTTCGTTTTTTAAACGCCCTTAAAAGTGCTTTTTTCATTAGGTGTTTTTAAAAAAGGCTTAATTTTCCCTTTTCGAAAATGAGAATTTTTTTCTTCACCATGTCGATTTTTGCCACGTATTATGCAAATGAATGCTTTTCACATTGTTCTATTGAACGTTTTCACAATTCATTTAACCACAACCTATTTCGACTAACCATCGCCCATAGCGTATGAAAGTGCCAATCATTTTACATGTTTGATGAAATTCTTGTGAGTGCGCACATGTGCGTCTACTGAGCTGGGCTTGATGAGATTATTGCTCTCTTGTGCAACTCTGCTGCAATTTGTAAGATATTATGAATTTCAGGCTTCATTTTCCACTCTCTGATATTGAACTGAAAAATCTCTTGATCATTTTATAGTGGCTAATATAATCAAGAAAAGAGTTCTTTGTCAGAAACTAGTTATTTAATCATGATCATGTAAAGTCTTTCAAAATTATTTTGCATTTTGTTAATGTCTATAGTGCTTAAAAGGTGCTTATTTTTTGTTGATAGATTTGGCTACGCACCTTAGAATAGCATATAAATTGATATTTTATCGAGTTTTTGCACATAAAACTTTCAGGGGTTTTCACTTAGTGTCACAATCACCCCTGTTATATATATTTGTAAATTTTGCTAAGTGTGTATGATTTTTTACATTAATAATCTCTATCTGTCTACATTGTTATCACGGACCAATTTCAATTTATGGAAGTAGTCTGCTAATCAATGCGTAATTTTTATAGCTATTTATTAGAGTCAGTTCTTGACTGTAAGAAGTTTAAAATACTATGAAAACTTATTCCTTGAATAAAGAAACTAACCAAATTGTAGTATCCTTATTATATGTTTTTATATTATCCTTATTAAACAAATTACCGAAATAAAATTCACCCATGGATTCCATTCTAATTTGTTTTTTTATTCACCATTTAAATAAGAATTCAAATTATTTCTTATGGATTCATGATTGCTTAGTATGAGACATAACTTTCAGTCCAAAATAAATATAAATAAGTTTACACTGTACTAAAGATTTAAAAATTCAAACCCTATTTTCTTCAAAAGTTTTTCTAATTTTTAATGTTTTATTTAATAAAGACTCTTAAATTACAGTGATTTGCAATAATTATTTTTTAGATGCATTTTATTGTTCACAAGTAAGCATAATTTGCAATTGATGTTATTTTGTTATAAATGTAGATTTACAAAAATCAATTTTTTAATTTTCTTCTGTCATTTGATTTTGGAAGAAACATGAATTTATTCTTTGTTATTTTTCCAAGTTTTCTTTTCAAACTTTCCAATGATGTTGAATGTTTGTTTTATTTGCACTTCTTTTTAAGTGTTTTATCCTTTTTGATGTTGGAAAGTCATCCTAAAACAATTTTGTGTATCTATATGTTATTGTACTGAATTCAACTTGAATCTTGGCCTCCAAAATGTTATTTGCTTATGAGGATTGTTCACAACATTGTTTCATTTATTTTTAAAATGTTGTGAATTGGTTTAGGAAAATAAAATCTTGCGTGTATAGAATCTTATTTTATATTGCCTAACTGTTTCATAGTACATAATATTCTGTGCATTTAGTTAGTTATATTTATAATATTGGATCACTCTAAAATTTCCATTGTTTCTTTTGCAAAATTTTAGTAGTATCTTCCATTTCTGCTGCTGTATATATATTAATAAAAAAATATTCTTTTTTTTTAACCAGAAACCATATGCAATTGCAAATAAATTTACAGTCTTTAAATGTATCAGTTTACTGACATTAGATTTCTGTTAACTAAACAAAATTAAAAAAGTGATTTCTGTGTGCATGAATGCCTACTCATTTTGGAATTGTCTTGATAAATAGTTACCATTAATGAATAATCATCGTCCAAATGATTATTTCATATTTGAATTTTCCTCCTTCTGTCATAAATATTCAAGAGCTTTGTTGTTTTCCTTTTGGATTCTTTTAACCAAAGGAATTTTTCATTATCATACTTATAAAGTATTGACAAATTTCAAATTTGTAGCTCTTTGACTACTTTGGTGATATTTTTTAATTGTTATTTATGCCTGTTCCAATTTTTCAGTACTCTTTGCACTGATGAATAGACTTGGGCTTTGTTATATTCATACAATTATGAATATTTATCTATTTACATTTTCTATTATACTTAGGTTTTATTGATAGAGTATTATTCTTTATTAAAATAATTTTTTAAAATTTACAAAGTTTTTTCTTGATGTATTTAATTTGTTTATATTGTTGTATGAATAAATTTTCAAAATATGTCTTCATCAAATTCTTTTTTTACTCATATTTCTTTCGTAGACAAAAAAAAATTTTTTTCTTCTGAAACATAGGAAAATTACTTTACAATTTATGCCACACAATACTCAATATATGAGATGCTCAATAAGTTCTCAATTGGTATTTTTATCATAACATAAACATAAAACAAATCTTCTAGTGCTTAATAATTTATAACCTAGAATTTGGGAAGTATTTAAAACTGATGTCCTTGGGTGCAAAGCTTTCATGTAAAGGATCAATTTAAGGCAAACCATAAAAACTTGGTGCCAGGATTTCAAAACTCATCTTTAACCTCTTGCCTACCACGGGTGTATATATATATGCTTCACTAAGCCAATGCGTTCACTACCCCTAGCGTATTCTTATATGTTTATATATTTTAATATTAGTTA